GCCCAGAGGAAAATAGCTTTATTTAAAGAAAATAGCAACCTGGTTAGCTGAAAAATGTTGCATGAAATCAACAGTATTTTATTATTGAATGTGATTAAAATCACCAACCACATTGAAATCCATTCTTTTCTGTGAGGAGATGAATGCAGAAAGACACATCTTACATACAGCAAAGAGATGGCTTTCTAAAAGTAGGTTACTAGGGCTGGGAATATAGCTCAGCGGCATAAGTGCCTGCCTGGCAAACACAAGGTCCTGAGTTCTATTCTTGGTAAAAAAAAAATATATATATATATTAAAAGTAGGTTACTTGCCAGAGTTATGAGAGCTGATCCAGAGATAATATTTAGAAAAACATTATAGTTCAAAATTGATTAAAAACTTGTAATTTGGAGTCAAATATTATGCCTATAAGATTCCTGAAATTTATTGATTATTTATGGATCTCACTTTTGAAATCTATGTACTGAAGTTGTTAGTTATGAAAACATGATATAAACTACAAAATATATGATGATATATTTGGAATTAAATAATATATGAATAACCCTGACATTTGATAAGCTATCTGCAGTGATTGATGTCTTAATTCATAACATTTTCTCTTACAACACATAAAGAATTGGTGAAAATACATATTTATAAAAGAGAATGTAAACTTTTGTGATCATAAGAGTATAAAGGAAGAAATTAGTTCTTTGACCCATATAGAAATTCTACAAGTACAGAGAAAAAGAAATAGCAATACTTGGAGAGGGTTTGTGAAATATCCATTGGTAACCCTAAGGAAGAGATAAGGCTACTCATGGGCTTTCTAATTTTGATAGCTTTCTGTCATCAAAGAACTACACTAACTAATAGAATACAATGTTATTTGAAAGTAAAAAAAAATTGGGTTTTTCTTGAAAGAATTCTCTAAACATAGATTTTTTTAAAAAAACCCAACACTGTTATACAAGCACAAAGAGACTTCACAACTTGTTTATGTCTAGTCTCTAGTCTACTTTGAACAGTCATCAGCCTAAAAACCTGAAAATATTGAATGGTACAGTTTACTGAATCTTTACTCATGCAAATATTTGTGCTATTGACTGAAGGAAGCCGGAAACACATGGATACACTAAAAAATGGTGAATACGAGCTACAGGAAAAATTTTAAAGCCATAAAATAATTTAAATGGTGGTGCTTCACACGCAGCTGTCATAGATGAACAGACAAAAGTTAACAATGAAAGCAGCATGTATGATTGCCACATGTGTAAGTCATGAAGAAGACTGCTTCAGAAATGAAAGAAACAGGATGAAAAGTAAAAAGCACAGAAACATCAGGATGTAGAGGATACATTTCAGTTTCATCAGGTATCTGATTTCAAGAGAAGAGAGTGGAGAGTTGTGATAAACAATGGGTACTAGGATTTAAAAAATCCGGACAGTGCTCCATACTGATCAATATGGTAGTGAGCAGGAAGATTTAGAAGTTCAGCCTTTGCTGAAGTTCTTGCAGTATTCTCAGGGGAACACAGGGAGACGAGGACCTCATTAATGATATCAGAACAGCATAAAACTGTGAAGGTAGAGGATGATGAGAATCCTCCAATAGTCACTGTCTGAAAAGAAATGCTTCCTTCATGTCATCCAGGTACCAAAGAAAACAACAGATAGACTTTTTCCTCTCAGGTAGGTGTTTAAAGCCACTTCTCAGGAGGCTGTTCAAAGAACAGCATTTCTTTGTAAAAATGAAGACTCAAGTATTGTGGGATGTGAAAATGAATGAAGTCGTACTTACTACGTTAAAGATATTCTTTATTGCCTAATGGCCAAATATATGTTTTTTTGGGTGAGTGAATCTGACTGAATGCATTTGTCGCTTGCTTAAGGATTTTGAAGGTTTTATTTATTCATATTTTAATCAAAACTCATAAGCAAACCATTTGTTTAAAAAATCTCACTATAAATGATGTGGAATGGTAAAATTTAAAATTTGCTTTAGTTTTATTCAAGTTATAGAGAACATATTTCAAGTATCATTATGTGAAAATGTCAGACTTTAGTCTGAAACAATAAGCTTTGATCATCCATATTCCATTTGTGGACAGATGAACACAACATACATATAGAAAATCAAACAGGAGCACAAGAAATAAAAGCCAATATATCTCAGAACCACTTCCTGTTTCTCTCCCCACCTTCTATCACCTGAAAAAGTCAATTCAAAAGACAGCGGTAAACAAGTGTGTTGTTACAGTCTGCCGATCCTATTTCTATTAATCTCTTCTGTTTTCTTTTCAAATTCACTCTTTTGGAATCAGCTGAGTTAAACAAATCAGTTATGAAAGCTTTGCAGACCAGTGATGACTAGCGACACATTAGTCAGTAAAATGTGTTTTATTTTGCAGTAAGTTCAAAGGACAATAAAGATAGAATTTATGATCATTTATTAATTATATGCAATATCATTGTGTTACGACTACAAAGGTTTTAATTATTCATATTGTAATCACTACTGGGAACTAATCCATTTCTTTCAAACACCACTCTATATGTGATATGGTATATGTAAATTTACTTTTTGTTATGGCTTTTTTTGTATAATAATAGAAATTAATACAATACAAGCATGCAAATATATAAGATCAAATCCTCATTGGTCACTATTTACAATTATACTATGTACTGTAAACTGTACTATTTATACTATTAACTCTAAACTATATTATTTACATACAGATGTAATAATTCATAAGTCATGCTACCATGCATATTCCAGTGCTATATGTAAAAGTAGATACATGAACAGACACATACACATATAAATGCAATCAAAAACACAGGAATGGAATCCTGTTTATTAGAAAGTTTTTACTATTTCTCCCCCTATTTTTATTGTAATGAAAAACTAATGATAACAAGTATATTTGTTATAATCTATTGTTCCCACTTCTTTTGATCACATCACTTTGGCTTAGGGGATTTGGAATTTGGAATTAAGAGAATGGAAAAGGGTTAGAAAAGTTCTGGCAAACCATTCAGAATAAGTGACAGAACAATTTATAAAAACTCATTTCATTTTTTAACAGGCCCTACATAGCAAAAATGATACCGTAAGAGCTTTCACTTTACATGGATTTTATATGCAGTGTCATTGGCAGTGCTAAAACCAATTATGTTTTTTGAATAATGTAAAAAATGGATTTGAGATGTTTAATCTTGTATTTTCTGGATTATCTGCCTGACTTTAGAATTTATTTTATATAATTTTAAACTGGAAAAAAAAACTATGAGTTTAATCACATCTACTGTTCTACTGCCAAAGAATCAATGTAAGTCACACATCTGAAGAATTATATACAAGTTCAGAATCAAAAGGGGTCAGCTAATTACCTTGATAATGCTCCTTTAATAGGAGCACTTTCCTTGTCAGTTTTTTGCAGCCTATTAAACAATTTAGGGACCCAAGTAATAGCTTGTCTCATAATAACATTTTTGAAAAAGCAGAAAAATTGATCCCTAACCTATCATTTTCTTGATGCTTTTATACAGCTTAAAAGAAGAACAAAGAAGAATGGAATTTGCAAATTGCTCACTGCTGTCTAAATTCTTTCTCTTGGGAATTATGAATAACCCTGAAATGAAAGTAACTCTATTCATGGTATTTCTATTTGTTTATCTCATTATTCTCTTGGCAAATGTTGGAATGATCATTTTAATCAGAGTGGATCCGCGGCTTTACACGCCCATGTATGTCTTCCTCAGCCACCTGTCATTCTCTGACCTCTGCTATTCCACGGCAGTTGGGCCCAAGATGCTGGTGGACCTGCTTGCCAAGAACAATTCAATTCCTTTTGTTGGGTGTGCTCTGCAGTTGTTCATCTTCTGTGTCTTTACAGACGCCGAGTGTCTGCTGCTGGCAGTGATGGCCTTTGACAGGTACCAGGCCATCAGCAAGCCCTTGCTCTACACGGCGCACATGTCCAGCGCGCTGTGCACCCAGCTCCTGGCTGGGGTTTACCTGGTGGGGCTCACGGATGCTCTGATACACACTACCCTGACATTCCGCTTATGTTTCTGCGGGTCCAATGAGATTAACCATTTCTTCTGTGATGTGCCTCCTCTCCTCTTAATAGCTTGTTCAGATACACAGATTAATGAGTTAGTGATATTCACTATTTTTGGTTTTATAGAACTGAGTACAATCTCAGGTGTACTTGTCTCCTACTGCTATATCATCTTATCGGTCTTAAAGATCCGCTCTGCCGAGGGGAGGTTCAAGGCTTTCTCCACCTGCGCCTCCCACCTCACTGCCGTCGCCATCTTCCAGGGAACCATGCTCTTCATGTACTTCCGCCCCAGTTCTGCCTACTCCCTCGATCAGGACAAAATGACCTCACTGTTTTACACCCTGGTGATTCCCATGCTGAACCCTCTGATTTACAGCCTGCGGAACAAGGATGTAAAAGAAGCTGTGAAAAACTTGAAAAGAAAACTATTTTAAGTAAATAGGTATTCTAAATGCTCCAAATAGCTACATACCTGTACAGAAAGAAATATATATGCTTGTTGCTTTCCTCAACTAATATAATGTAAAGTGATTTATAGTATATCAGCGTAATATAATTTGTATTTACAAAAATCACTTCGTATTATTAGTTGGTAGTTTCCTAAATATACTGTCCTTCATTATGTATTCACAATTTAAATATCATACTCTTTAATTTTGGAAAACTTTCTAGTCTCCATGCTTGTTTACCATAATCTCATTTCCTTGGTGAATATTTCATGAATTAATTTAATCATTTCAAAGCATTCATTGCCTAATATGTACCTTTTTGCGTTGGTGAGCTTTGGATTTTTATATTATATAAAAACAACTTATAAGAAATAATTAATTTGAAATAAAGTATTAAATTATACCATGTAAAGGGAAAAGTAGTCTTGGTGCAAGTAAAATGTATAAATCTAGACTACGAGTAAGAAAAGAATCTTTGAAATGGGATTTTATTTTCAGATCAAAGACTATGTAGTGGGACACTGAAGGGGGACTGATGAACAGAACGAGTTTTAAATGAAAATCCAAGCAGAGATCCCGAGGTGCACAGACAAAAGGTTTTCAGAGGGAGATATCCGCACCGCTGTGACTGAAAGGGACAGTGGTGAGGAGGGGAGCATTGTGTCACATACTTCGGAGTCATTTATGTCTTACTTTAAGAAATGTCTATTTGAGTTTATGCCACTTTGTATTCGAAATATATTTTTCTGAAAATGTGTTTTCTTCTTCTGTGGAGCAGAACAGGCCCCCTAGGAGTAACAAACTCCGGTGCTCCATGTCATAACATGGAAACTCTAGCCAATAACGAGGTGTGGCCCATTTTTAATTGAATATGGGAAATAATTCTGCATGTTGTCCTGTCAAGGGTGAATATTTGCTGGAATAGCTGTGTCCCTGTCCTCCTTTGATCATTACCTAATGAATGTTTGACTATTGATGTATCGTGCCCCATAGCTTTGTAAGATGTTGTGTCAATTAAAAAATGAAAAGAAAACAATTGCAAAGCAAATCAAAGCCCCTTCTTCAGTCCACCCTTGCGCTGCGGATCTCACCCAGTCGCTGCTGTGCAGGGTTCCCCCCTCTTCCCTCGGTCATCCTTCATTAGACGTCCGCTTCTCGGTGCTCCGCTGCAGCCGCCGCCCTGCCCCTTGCTCTGGTTGTCAGTCACCTCTGACTTGAGGCTGCAGGTGTTCTTAGTGCGAGGACAGCACGCCCTTGGGCTGCTTTGCCTACTCAAGCTTTGTGGCTAAGAAGCAAACCGGAACAACAATAACAAAATCACTCCACGTGTTATGATCTTGAGTGTCTTATTAGAAGTCACATTGTGACTCACGGAAAGTTAGTTTCATAGCTTTAAGAAAGTAATGAAGTGGTTCTGAGTTCTGTTCTAGTGAATCTACAAATACGTGCATACTAATTACACAGGAAATAAAAAGCATTCATCGAGGGATTTATTCAAAGCTCTGCTGCTTCATCTGGCTCCACTCAAGTTCATGAGGTCAAAACACTGGAAATGTTTCAGAAAGTGAGGATAAAACACGGATTTGAAGGCTTCTACCGCACTCGCTGAAATTCTACGTTCTCTAATTGCTACTGCGTAACTTACGCTTGCCTGGAGCCACTATAAGATGTCCTTGCTGCTTGCAAAGTGGTGTCTGAGGGACCCTGCTCCAGGTTGTGGGAGAAGATGGTCGTGAAACACCCTATGAAGAGACAGATCTCTTCCTCACTTATGATTTTTCTTTTGTTCATTTTTCTTATAAAGAAAAAATGATAGAAAACGTTTGAGATATTGTTAGTGTTCAGTTAAACTGTAGAATTCACAGATTGCTGATACTTCGAAAGATATGACGATATCGCCCCCACTTCCTTAAGACTTATGGTAGTTATAGCAAAGAAGGATCAATTCGATGTGCTTATCAGTCTCTTTATTTAGATCTAGTAAGTACAAAATAAAAGAAAGAAAAGTTTAACCCTCCAAAATATGTACTTTTAGATAACAGTATGATGAATCGCGATCTACATATCTCTGAGTTTGATAAATTAAAATGAAATATCATTTACTGGGAATATTTTGTTAAGTTTTTCATGAGAAATTCTGTCATGGTGATGCACTCCTATGATCCCAGCATCTTGGAAGGCTGAGGCAGGAGGATCCTGAGTTGGAACTCTTAGTTGGAAAATAATTTCTATTATGCATCCTCACACCTAACTGAGTATAAGGAGCAATAATCACCGCACTTTGTTAAACTTTGAAACTAAAGAAATAAAGAATAGTATCATTTTGCTATTTGCATAATGGGTCTTGTTATGTTTCCCTTTTTCATTGATGAGTGTGTCTCAATGAGAGATCATGGGGCTTGCAAACTTTCCCTAAAAACCAGTTTAACACACCATCCATTAGTTTGAATTTTTAGAAAGAGGGATTAATAATATAGTTGATGACCCAGAAGGGAATTTCAGACAATCAAAATTAATCATCTTGGTGCCTTTTCTGTGGAGTATTTTCAGTCTAAAAATAATGTCTCTCGTAACACTTCAGAATAAATAAGTCGTAAATGTATGAAGACAATTTCTTGCTTAGACTAACAACTTAGTAAAGACAATGCTCTTTTTTCTCTTCTCTACCATTATTTTTTCTCTTATTATTTAATGCTTGGCAACAGAGTACCATTCCACAGTTACTAAATACACAAAAATAGCTCCCTGCAAAACTGGTGGAAAAAGGACGTTTTATGAAACTGTCAGGAAAGGGACTCCAGAGCTTTCATTGTATTGTATTATGTTCATCTTCCGTGAAATTTGTCTGGACCTCTTGCTTTTGTCCTAGGCTGAAATGAAATACTTGCAACAGGACTTAGACGTAAAGAAATTCTCTTCTCAGATCTTAGATTCCTCATCCATCTGATCCAATTATATCAACAACGTCCCATGACCAACAGCTCCAGCTTTCTGGCACACCAGGCAGAGTGAACTGACTTCTTGCCCTCACTCTGGAGCGCATGTAGGATGCTGTCTTCACCTGGGCAGCATCTACACAAACTGGACTTTTCCAAGGAACACTGGAAAAGGGGCTCCATGTCCCTCCATGAATTCATATATTATACTATATGTTTGTTGACTACCACTTAAAATAAAACAACTGAATTGCAATTTTGAATCAACACAGTTTAAGTTGTAAAGAATTATTGACATTTCAGGGGAAACACAGAAAAGAACAAGTAATATTTACATTAGTATTTTATTTTGTAACATTTTTGACTGTCGCTCTGTGTATCTGAAAAATAAACTGTCACCTTATTCTAAATAGTGTGTTGATAGTGGTCATTTATGAGTGGCTGGATTTAGCTAATCCTATAATACATTACAGTCAAATTTGGCGATTTGGATATATTCTTCAAAATATAATTACTTATCAACTAATATAGTTATGGAAAAAGGTACAAAACTTCAGATTCTCAAGAGTATTCTATTTTATTAGGTTGGCGTCATGAAAAGAATATGAGGGTTATGCACTTTTTTCAATTTAATTCCTCATTCCCAATTTTATGTATTCTTTTAGTTATAAAATATATTAATGCTATACATTTCAAAATATCATATGAATGAATACGTTTATATTGATATGCAATTTCAGCAGGATATTTGTTCATGTTATTGACTGAATAATTTATAAGGAATAAATACATGGCCCCATTTCTTAAATACTTGTTTTCTCTCTAATATCAAATGATATTACTAATCAAGACTTCTCAATAGCCTTCTAAGAAGATTATACACCATGACTAAGTAGGATTCATTCCAGGCATGCATGGGTGATTCAACATACACAAAGCAGTGAATGTAATACACCATATTAACAGAACCAAAGAGAAAAATTCATATAATCATCTCAGTAGTTGCAAAAAAGTATTTGACAAAGTCTAACACTCATTCATGATAAAAAACCTTATAGAAAATTGGAATAGATAGTATTTGATACTCAATCTAATAAAAGCCATCTATGATAAACCAGCAGCTAACATCATATTAAATGGTCAAAAATTGCAAACCTTCTCTCTAAATCAGGAACAAGACAAGGACATCCGCTGTCACCACTCCTAGTCAGTGTAATCCTGGAAACATTACCAGAGAAATTAGACAAGAGAATGATATAAAAGGAATGAGAGTACAAGAGGAAGAAGTTAAATTATGGTTATTTGCTGATGACATGATAACCTACAGAGAGGATGCCAAAAACTCCGCCAAAAAACATCTAGATTTAATAACCAAATTCAGCAGTGTTGCTGGATACAAACTCAACACTCAAAAATCAGTAGCATTCCTTCACACAAGCAAACTCACAGAAAGAGAAATTAGGAAAACCACACCTTTCAGAATAACATTCATAAAAATGAAATACTTTGGAATTAATCTAACAAAGGGAATAAAAGATTTATACACTGAAAATTATATTACTCTGAAAAAGGAGATCAAAGAGGATATCAGAAGGTAGAAAGATATCCCTTGCTCACGGATAGGAAGAACTAATGTAGCAAAAATGGCCATACTGCCAAAACTGCTATGTAGATTTAATGCAATCCTGATCAAAATATCATTAGCACTAGAGAAAACCATCCTAAAATTCATTTGGAACCAGAAGAGACCTAGAATAGCAAAAGCAATTTTGGGCAACAAAGGCAAGTCAGGGAGCGTCATAATCCCTGACTTGAAATTACACTACAAAGCTGCTGTAACAAAATCAGCATGGTATTAATACAAAGCAGGCCTGAGGATCAATGGAACAGAGTAGAAGATGCAGATGCAACCTCAGACACATTTAGCAACTTTATCTTTGACAAAGGGGTCAAGCATATTCACTGGAAGAAAGATAGCCTCTTTAATAAATGGTGCTAGAAAAACTGGCTTTCCACATGCCAAAGACCAAAACCAGACCCATGTCATCACCACGCACTAAACTAAAGTCAAAATGGATCAGGGATCTAAATATTAAAACAGAAACACTAAATCTACTGGAAGATGAAATAGGTAGAAATCTTGAAGACATAGGTACAGGCATAGACTTTGTTAACAAAAGCCAGACCACATGGGAAATACTACAATCAATACATGAGATATCACTTTGCTAAAAAGCTTCCGCACAACAACAAAAAAATCACCAACAGAGTGAAAAGATAATCCACAGAATGGGAAAAAATTATAGCCAGTTGTCCCACAGACAAAGGACTTATATATGGAATATATAAATCAGACCCCACAAATTTAAAGATCCAATCCAAAAATGGGCATCTGAGATGAATGCACATTTCTCAGATGAAGAAATACAAATGAGAAATAAATCTATGAAAAAATGTTCAACATCACTGGTCATTTGAGAAATGCAAATTAAAACAACATTGAGATTCCATCTCACTCCAGAAAAGATGATCATCATCAAGAAATCAACCATTAACAAATGCAGAAGGGGATGTGGGGAAAAAGGAACCATTTTCCACTGTCGGTAGGAGTATAGAGTGATGCAACAACTGTGGAAATCAGTGTGGAAATTCCTCAAAAATTAGCATTAGTGGTCCCATTTGACACAGCTATCCACCTTCTGTGTATCTTCTCAGAAGAATTAAAAACATTATACCACAGCAATATAGATTCATCTATGTTTATAGCAGCAAAATTTGTAATAGCTAAATACTGGAAACAGCTCAAGTGATCATCAACTGAGGAATGGATAAAAAAGATTTTTTTTTAATATAATGGAGCATTACTAAGCCATAAAGAAGGATAAACTTGAGACTAGGTAAATGGATGCTACTGGAGACCATACTCATAGGTGAAATGAAGCAAACCCAGATGGGTAGACAGCATATAGTCTCACTAGTGGAGAAGCTGTACAAGTAAATAGGACACAAAATGTACAATAGACACTGTGAATTGTGAAAAAACTGTTCAGAAGAAAAGAGAAACTGTAATGGGGGAAAGGGGAAAGGAAGGAAGGGAAAAGGAAAAAAAAATATGTATATACATATTAGCTAAGACAGATATACTGGTAGTTTCTCTTAGTTCACTGAAAGAAAAGTTTGTGCTAATATTGTTTGGGCAATATCTCATTCTTTTTTTCCCCCTGGTACCTGGAATCAAACTCAGGACCTTGCACTTGCCAGGCAGGCACTTGTGCTGTTGAGCTATATCCCCAGCTATATCTCACTCTTATATCTTGTACCCAAGTAACTGCTCTGAAGATAACAATACACAGTTTACTAATTACTGTTACTCTCCTATTATCTTTTTTTGAAATTCTGTCTTATTTTTTCTTCTTTTTATAACAAAAGGTCAGAAAAAATAGCCTTCTTGACACAATATAGTTTATCAAAAACATGGTACATATATGGACAGCTATAAAATTCTAGGTATACTCATAATTTCAAATTGTTTTCACTATCATTTGTATGAGTTCACATTGCTTTTTCCTGTAGAGACAATTACGTAATAATTTTACATGTTTTAAAGAATTATTTTCTTTAAATATTTTTGTCTTATCAAAATGTTAAAGATATGAAAGATTCTAAGGACCTGGGTGTTAGAGTGAGACAGACACGTGTTCCATCTGTCACTTGTTAGTTGTGTGACAATACTCAGGTCCGAATTTTTTCCATCTCTTAATCAACGATTTCGTGTAAGCAATACAAGTTTCTATCTATCTATCTTTCAGATACTCAGTACATCTGGTATTGCTCAACAGGGTCTCCAGGATCAGCATGAACCAGCTCTCAGGAACTGACTTCAGAGAAGATGGTGCTGTTCTTGGCCTCCGGTGCTGAAATCCAGCCCCAGGCTCTCTGTCCTGTGCTCTTCAGAGCCTGTGCCGCGAGGTGACCTGACTCCAGCTACTCCAGATTCACCACTGGTCCATATTTGAAGATCTCTGCCCAACACCCAGAGGACTTATGTTTCCCTGACTCAGCCTTTGTTTCTGGTTATTCCTGAGTAAAGATTTCTCCATAGCAAATCAAACAAACCACATTATTCTGGTGCTCAGCCTGAAACTATGCTATGATCTAAACCGCAGAACCCATATTCTCAACAAATGAGTTTAGATAATTAATCCCAGAGTACTTCATTCGTGGAATCCTGTGTAGCCCTACCCCAGTGGCCATGGCTGCAATAGCACCTAGCAACAAAGAAATCAATTTCTCTCTCCTGTGAAAAGAGTATGCCTTTCAGAGACTACTTCCTGCTGATAAATCCATGCAAAATATGTGGTTCTCCTCCTAGGGATGCCATTCTTGTCTTCACTATCAAAACTCACGTTAGCTGAAGCCCTATTTAATTGCTGATCTCTATGGACAATGTTTTTATGATATTACATCCCAACTCATTAAATGTCACTGTGGATTCAATTTACAATCCAGCATTTATTTTCAATCTCAGATGGCTGTTTGTTTTAATTCCTCCTCTCCACCACTGTTTTTCCTTACTTTTGGATTGAAATCACCATTTTCACAATCCAACCACACTTTCTCTAACTGTACGCTGCTGCAGTCACCTAAGCCATGATCCTAACATTCATAGCTCCAGTTCCCAGCTGGGGGTCTTGGAGCAGGCTTCCCTCAGAACTTAGCTATATACACATATAGATCAAGAGGTTTTGGACCTTGTGTACTCTTGAGAAAATTTTGTGTGAATCAGAATTTAATTTAGTCAATATTTGCACACCATTTACAAATGATTTTTGAAAAAGCCACCGTATTTGGTAACATCTTATAATAGTTAATTGCATACACAGAAACACTGTGGAGGATAAAGCGGAAGTAATTCAAGAGGAATGACTAGTTTCTGTGGGTTGCTTTCCCCCACTGCACATAATCTTAACTAAAAACAATCTATGGCAGGCTTATATTTGCTTCATAAATATTCACTAAGAAGGCAGCCTTGGGTGGGTACTTCAATGAAGAAGCAAGAGATTAATGGATAAGATTTAATGAATACTCATTGTAGAGGGATAGAACATACGCACAGGCTACTGCAAGATATGTGAGAGACTTCAGAGTATAGCTAAGGTTCTAATGAGATTGAAAGTGCAAATTATCATTTGGAAGTGAAAGGAAATTCCTGACAAAGCATTCCTGGGTTCAAATATGAGGAAAAATTTTGGAAAGAGTAGTTTGGACCAGTGAGTTACAATGCGCATCTGTTTACATGGCAATCAAATCAATGGATGATGAATTTTGTGAATTGTACCTATGTACTTTCATCAGTGGGGATTCTGGTATGTCAATGGCTTACCCACTGGGGCGAGAACTTTTTGAGAAATGTTCAGAGAAGGAAGTGCACATGTGTAAGCATATGGGAAGTGGAAGATAAAGTGAAGAGTGAGCCTTCCCCTGAAATAAATATTAAACATTTCAACTCTAAAATAATAAAGATGATAATATCATACAGGCACTGTGAGAGAGCCCAGCTGAACCTGAGGCTCTGGCACTCTTATGTGGTCAGGAATTCACTATCCACAGGTTTGGGAAATAGCCATATTCAATTAATTTTAAAAAACAGAAATAGAAGTTAAAGCATATTGTTCAAATTGCTTGGCCCATTTCTTATATTAAGATAGCCCTTTTGGGGTAATTATCTTTCTAAAGGCACTCTTGACATCCTTGTTTCTTAGGCTGTAAATGAGGGGGTTCAGCATGGGTATAATCAGTGTATAGAACACAGAGGTCACTTTATCAGTATCCATTGAATGTCCTGCACTTGGACGCAAGTAAATGAAGATCAGAGTGCCGTGATATATGGTGACCACCATCAGGTGCGAAGCACAGGTGGAGAATCCTTTCCTTCTTCCTTCTGCTGAGCCTGTTTTAAGGATGGCTGTTATAATACACATATAAGACAGGAGAACTGTTAGAAGACAAATAGCTTCCACCAAACTAGCAAACACCACCAGAATGATGTCATGTGTGTATGTGTCAGCGCAGGACAGAGAAAAAAGTGGGGAGATATCACAAAAGAAATGGTTTATTTGCTCAGAGCAGAAGGCTAGAAGGAAAGTATTAGTGGTGTGAATAATTGAGCTTACAGTGCCCCGAGAAATGCTCCCAGTGCGAGCTGGCCACAAACTCTCTTGGACATAATAACGGTATAAAGCAGAGGGTTGCAGATTGCTATATACCTGTCATAAGCCATGGCAGCCAGGAGGAAAGATTCTGTGTCAACCAAAGAGCAGAAAAAATATAACTGCGCAGCACAGCCATTGTAAGAAATGGTCTTCTCATCAGAAATCAAGTTCACCAGTAACTTGGGGGCAATGACAGAAGAGTAGCTCGCGTCCACGAAGGAGAGCATGCAGAGGAAGAAGTACATGGGGGTGTGCAAGTGGGAGCTGACTGAGATTAACAGAACCATGCCAAGATTCCCCATCAAGGTGACAGAGGAAATGGAAAAGAATGCAGCGAAAAGCAGCTGCCAAAGTTCCGGGTGGTCACTGAATCCCACGAGGAGGAACTCCGCGGTCACAGTGCCGTTCTCCGGACGCGTCATCCGCAGCGCTTCTCGGTGCCAGGACAGGGGATAGAGGAAGGATAGAACGGGTAGCAAGATCTGGACGCTAACCAAAGAGAAGAGAATAAAAGGTCCAAGTAATAGAACAGGCTCTGAATCCACTCAAGCATTCTCACAGCGACAAGGTGTGTCTACAGTTAGCGTAGTTTAAAGCATACTTTTTAATTTGTACAATTAAATCAGGAATATATCACCTGCGTTTTTATATTTTTATCCCTAGCCCCTCCCCTTAACTTCCTTCCTTTCCTTCTTTCTTTTTTAAAAATTTATTTTAAAAATAAAAGAAGGAAAACATATTAACAAACAGACGTCCGTTTATAAAAGAGCATAAGAACAATACAAACAGTACAGAGTTACAGACAAAGTGGTAGGAAATTAACAGTGGCTGTTGTAATACTTATTGATATCTTCAAAGTGCTGTTCAGTGTTGCAAATAACAGTTTTAAAAACGCAGGTGATTTAACAGCACCACTGTCAAGCCAGGTGCACAGATTAAATCTGCGACTTCACTTTAAATTCTGTAATTCTGTCATTCACCGCGCATGTCAAGGAAGAGGAGATACTCACCTTGGTGTCATGAATCATGGAAACAGAAACTCTGTTCTTCTCCGTGCCTTGCTGTAGATTTCACAAATGGAGAGCAGTTTACCTCTCGAGGTGAAGGCTCGTGCATAGGGGAGGTCTGGGTGCTGTACTTTGAGTTGTGGCTTTGCCTGTAAGAAGCTAAGGAATTCATTCAAGTGATTTCAAGTCCCCTGATGAAGCAGAAAGAGCAAAGATTCAGAGCAAGTTACCTAAATAACCATCTAGGTGTCACCCACAGGAGGTAGGAAATCTGGGGCATGGCAGTTGCTCACTGAGTTTCGGTGTCATTATGTGTATATATATGAACGACGAACATCTTTCTCATGAAATACGAGTTACATGAATCTGCTTTCATAGCCTCATTATACTTCCTGTCATTCTCAGTAACTGATACTAAGTGGCAATGTAGCCATTCTCCGTGAAACCGGGCATGTATTTTTTTGTTTTTTTTTCAGTTTGGGTTCTAAGAAAAGCAATTGTCATGCATGGAATTTTATTACAGCCAAATTAGATGTAGATTATGAATATATCCAAGACTATGTCCATGGCCTCCACAGTGGAAAACTGTAAATGGCAATCGCATTGCACCCTCACCAGTCCAGGGTCAGTCTCCCAGCACTTCCTTCAGAACCTACTTCTTCTCACCAAATGCTCTTTCCAGGTAAGGAATCTTATTCCTTTTCTGAATTTATTACCTATCCGATGACAGCTTTCTTATGTGAATTCCCAATCATATTCCCAGTTTAAAAATAACTATAGAATAGGCACATAAACATACCAGGTCTAAAACAAAATTGAGTTGATATCACTTTCCAGTACTATGTGTATTCTGAGATTCCTGTCTTGGTGTATATAGTTATGACCTCTGCTACTGGTCTAAATAAGGATCCTACCCTACCAAAAGCCAGGGATCCAATCATGGAAATGTGAAAATATCAGAATTTTTTGCGTTAATGCCATTTATCTTTTTTTTAATGTCCTGGAGTTCAATTCCAGAGCTAGGAACAGGCTCTAGCACTGAAATACGTACCCAGGCCAACATTTTGTTTTTAAATGCCATCTCTGTTTCCTCAGTTGAACCTCTTAATTGTCCTCTTTCCAGCTGGTCTTCTAGTTTATTTAGATTACAAGAGCTATTTGTATGTCTTTGTAGAGTTACAAGATAAAACATAGTTAATATTGCATTCTTGCTTATGCCTTGAAATGATTCGCTGTCTCATACACGCTCCTATTGAAATATCTTCATATTCTATGTATCTATCTATTTTCACTTCATATGCTTCATCCCACACCTTGCTTTAGTCTAGCATTTCCAAATCTAAACCTTCTGCTTGTTCCCCAAACTGATGCAGATTTTGGATAAAATTGAATATCTTTATTAAAAGTTTGCACACACTTAGAAGAAATAAGGCTATAACTACCTTAAAAGTTATCCTCCAGCTACATTGATTATAATTTAGAACTAATAAGAATTGTGGTTTCTGCAGTATCATCAAAAATATCTTCTCCATATTTCTTCTTTTTTCAAAAGTGATTACATTAAGTGTTTTCTGGGTAAGTGTAGTTCACAGGGCATTAACATTTTGATACTGTAATTTTCAAAGCACTGTTAATTAATTTAATTGTGAATGTTCTTTAAAATATTGTTAGGGCTATTTTGTCCTCATTTATTTTAGAAAAGGAACTGACAGTTGCAGGCAAATTGAAAACTCTAAGAAAAGGGCCGTTTCTGATAAAAGAGCCAGTGCCAAACTTTGCAAGGTCATTCATAGAATGTGTTAGAACAGTCGGCTGTGCTCCCGCCATCCAGTACTAAGAGTAGTGTGACTGGGGATTCACAGTGTGATGCCCAACTGTGCTGCTCCTGGGTGCGACCAGGCACATTTTCTACATTCTGTGGTTTCATTTTCTGATTTGTAAGCTGTATTTTATGGTAGCACTTGTCTACAGGAGTGTGATGAAGGTTAAAGGACATTTAAAGTCCTTTTAAATTCAACTTTGTAAACTTTTTTATTTTACTAATCTATCTGGTGGTTGAACCCAGGGCCTTCACTCTGAGCTACATCTCCACGGCCAACACTCTCTTTATGAGTTTTTCTTTATTTGGAGACAGAGTCTTAGTCACTAAGTTGGCCAGGTTGGGTTTGTTCTGAAATGTCAGCTATTAATATTTCATCATTATGACATCTTTTAGCCTTACTAGACATTAATATTTGTTGTAATCAACCAAGATGTGCAGTTTTCCTGTATCAGTTAAAATAATAGATAAATGAGTAATTAAAAAAATTACAGAGAGATTAAGGTGCAGAAGGAAAGCATCACTGAGGTACTAGTCAGCTCCTTGGGTTTCTACCTTCAACTCCCACTTCTGTCTACTGACCTAGGAGACAAGACTGCAAACTGACCACAGAGTGGAGCCCTGACCACAATAAGATAGGATAACGTCCGGTGCCTGGGAGGGAAGGTTGGGTCACAGTGCTTCTTTGTATTACCATCCTCTCTTTTTATAATTAGGAAAAATCAACATTATATGAAAAAGTCTCATTTTTAGGGACAATGCTTACATGAGTTCCTCTTTTGGGCCCCTGAAGAACAAGAACATTTTTGCTGAAGATGTTTTCTGCTAAACACTATTTCATTGTTACTTTGTGATACCTGAATGGGTTTGGAACCTATGACCTTCACACCTATTTTTTTTTTTTTTTTTTTTTTTTAATTTTGAGACAAGTTTTTGCTAAATTGACCAGGCCGGTCTTGAATTTGCCTCAGCCTCTCTGAGTTCTGGCATTACTTGCATGATATACCAGATCATGGGGCTGGGGATATAGCTCAGCGGCACAGCACCTGCCTGGCAAGTTCAAGGTCATGAGTTCGATTCCCGGTACCGGAAGAAAAACAAACATGATATACCAGATGATGATAAGATTTTTATTTCTTATCACAGACTTAAAAGATGACCAAAAAAAAATCAGTCTATGTAGAGAATTATACTTCTAATAATCTTTCAAAGATGTTGCATGCATTGACGGTAAAGTGTTCAAAATTAGATATGAAATCCAAAAGGAACTATGAAAGAAGAAATGACTACATAAAATAAGACACTAAAAAAAGTTAAAAAAAAAATAAGTCAAAGAACCCATTTTACAAAATTGGCCCGAGAGAATGCAGATTTCAAATGAATTCCATAAAATGATATAACATTGCTGTAAAGTGTACATATTGAATTCTACTAGTGCATTTGGTTTTATTCCTTCAAAGACAACCTACAACACTTATTAGTACTGGTATTTTTATACTGATAACTCTTTGTATTATTACTAGAAGGCTAAATAAGGAAAGTTATATATAAAGTCAATCTTTATATCTAAACCAGTTTTTTTTTTTATACTTATTAACATTCTTGAGAACTACACTTACACTTAGCTATCTACTAAGCAACTAATAATGCTGAAGCTCACTTTAACAATAACATCTAATCCACACTGGTTCGTGGTTGCTGTTGTTTTTATTGGAAACTCCTAGAAGATGTAAAGCCTGCAAGATACTGGGGGCACTTGCTACAAAGACATCGGCTAACTGTGGGTACAATAAGCAGCCATAAAGGAGGTGAGCAATTAAAATCCCAGCCAGCTCCAGGGTCCTAGTATCACAATGGCAGTGCTTACCAGGTCAGTGGCTTTCACTCAGCTTCTCAGCACCATGGGGCAAGGCTCAGTTCATTTCCTGCCAGAATGACGAGTTTGTCAATTTAAACCAGGGAAACAAAACAAGCCATTTTAACACTTCTTGTAATCAGTGTGAGGCAGCCCTTCCATGTTCATGGAAGAGATCCGTGCCTCCCTTTGGAAGGCTCCATTTCTTCGGAGAAGCAAGACCTTGTATAGATCAGTCTGAAGCAGTTGAGTCAGTTTTTGATCTCACATCAGATCCCAGGAACCCAAATTCTGATTTCTAAATCTCCCACGGGAAAAGTATACATGAGCAATTAAACAGTCCCACCAAGGAGTTCATTAAGTACAAAATGAACTGATGTAATATATCTGTCTATAAGGACAATGTGAAAATGTATTTTGGCTTTGCAAATGGTAGATTATATAGAAAATTGGGTTCTGATGTTTGTTATCTCAATTGTTTCAATGAACTCATAACAATTTGTCAAGCATCTATCAGAATATTCTACCCAAAATGATGGAGAAATAAACTGGAAATAAGCAAAAATATATTTAATGAGTTACAATTAGCAGCTCTTAGAAGTCTTGTTTAATGAAACAAATTATGAACAAAATTAAATATGCTACATATTGTGATATATTTGCCTATGTTAAAGTATATCCACCCCAAGACGAATCTATGCAAGAAAGTTTTATCCAACAAATATATTTACTCTGTGAGTATTTTGTTCCAGACACTTGGTACAAAGTAGGTGAAAAAATTAAAATAAATAATAATAATTTTATCACGTAAAGAACAATGAATGAAAGAGAGATGGGAAAAAATATAATAAATTACATACAATTCGAAATGTCCATGATGTGATTGGATGTGTGACAATAAGATTTAGAAAGAATGTTACCCAATAAAGATAAATACAACTGAGTATATATATATATATATATTCTTTATTGACTTCAGTATCAGAAAGTTCTCTCTTCCTGGAAAAGAGAGCTCTGAACAGTTTAAGCTCTGCAGGTCCAGAGACTTAGCAGCAGGAGAAAGAAGCTCCTCTCTCCCTATTCCTTCCAGTTGATCCCCAAAGTTGGGTGGCTGGCCTACTGTGTCCACCGTGAAGAATCAAACCCTTGTGTTTCTTAATGACTGACAATAGACACAAGCAAATACCACTGGGTGCAGGACAGCGACACACTGAGGCTGCCTGACTGCGGGAAATCTAAGCTGATATTATGCAATAAGAAATTCAACACACGCTACTGGGATGAGGGAAAAGAGAAAAGAAAGAAAGAAGGGAAAAACATGTATATATGTATACGCAGGATAGCTAAGATCACTGTACTATTGATTTCCATTGCTTTAGTGAAAGGAACAGTTCATGTTTAAGTGTTTGATCAATCTTGCATGTCTGTATTTGATTACCTGAGTATCCAGTTTGAAGATATCAATACGTAATACAATCACCATTGTTAATTCCTATCACCTTGTCTGAAATTCTGTATTTCTTATATTGTTTTTGTGTTATTGTGTAAATGTCTGTGTGTTTGTTAATGTTTCATTCTTTTACTTTTAAAATAAAAAAGAGAGTAGTAGATAATTAAAAATAAATACATATGTTCACCACAAACTCCAGTTCATAAGAGGTAGAGCAGAAGAGAACCCATTCAGAAAAATGTAAAAGAAATGTCTGTGGTTGCTTTTCAGCCATGCTGCCTCGGTCACCTCAGGTAATTGGGGAGCTAATTATGAAGTTACACTGGGAAAAAGATATTAGTTCTTTTCTGAATCTATATTTAAAGCAGGTTTATGTTTGTCCAGTGGTCTCTGCACATGACAAGTACTACTAGATCTTAGTAGGGTACGGAGAACAGTGCTTATCCACACTGACATGGGAGTGACTGAGTGTCGCTGACTGCAGAATCCAATGTCTCTGAAGTGAGCATTGTAAGTCGTGGAGAGAGGTCAGAGCAGTAACAGAGAAAAGGAAGGATTTGGGGTATCTGGAAAGGGTTCTTAAACACCAGAAGAGTCACTAGTTCCGAGGCTGAGAAACGCGGTTCTGACTAGTGTAGCAAAGGTGATTTTTCTATTCCATTCCTCTCATGAACGAAAAGTCTCAGAAGAGACGATTGAAATCTCATTCCATTTGAAACATGAAAATAGATTCATTGCTCTATTTGCCTCAAAGAAAGACCCTAACTCCATCTTCTCAGTCAGTAATTATTTGTGTAAAGCACTGGGGTTATAGTTAATAATACTGTTTTGTATATGTGAATTTTGCTAAGATTAAGTGTTTTATCACAGAAAAAGAAAATGGAAAGGAAATGGTAAATATGTGAGGTAATGTGTGTATTGGTTATTCCCATTCCGGCAGCTAATTCCCAATATATATATATATATATATATATATATATATATATTACATAATAAAGTTGCATACCTCAATGACACAAAATTTTAGCTGTCAATTTTACCTCAAAAATACAAAAGAGGAGGGAGAGAGAAGGAAAGAGATGGAGAGAGAGAGAGACAGAGGCAGAGACTTCTTGTGTTGATGCTAAGAAATGACACTGCAATTTTAAAAATATACAACAAGTGACCCTTAATCTTCAGTACTGCATTCTATGGACCGAGCCTTCCACTTTTTATTTTTGTCTTTCCAGTGTTTAAGTTCCAGAGTAGCAGTCAGAGGTTAGCTGCGTGTCTGCAGTTCCTGTTTGGGAGGACCGAGGCTGAGGTTCAGATCCTGCTCGTGTCCATTCTTCGGAGTAAGCGCCCGGACACACAGGTTTCATCTCAGGTCAAAAACACCCCCCAGTGCACTAACGAGCATCTTGATGCATTTATTAAGCGATTTATAACAATAAAGACAATAAGAAACAACAGAAGAAACATTAAAACAATGAGAAAACAAGAGAAGTGTTATGGAAATAAGGAAAGTTGTGCTATGACTCACAGGGAGATAGATCTTCTGCAGAGAGGTCGGGACCAGAGAGACTGCGGGCAGGGGAAGGCAAGAGGAGGGGGAGGTAGAAAAGGTTGAGCAAGTGTGTTATGGTTGATACATTGTGCCAACTTGGGGAGTCTAGAGGTTCGGCTAAGTGACTCAGCAGTTCTGCCTCCTGGGGTGAAAAGGACACGCCCTTACCCTTCTGGGATGTTGTTTATTGTGTTAATTTGAGAAGTTTAGAATGTTAACTATGCAACTCAGAAGGGGTCCAGGGTGCTTACTTTGTATTCATCCTGAGCCTGTGCAAAAGGCAGGCATGCAGAGGGTGTGGATGTGGAGGACCACCCCCACCTCCCCAGAGCGGGTAGACTGCATAATAAAGGAATTGAGGAAGGACTGGCTGCTGGTTCTTCGGAGGAGCTCCGGTCTTCGCCTTCAGCTTGGTCGTCTCCTGGCTTCTGGTGCAGACTGTTGGGCTTCCGTCTGGACTCTTCAGCCTTCTGGTGTTGGCTCTCCGGCCTTCATCGTAGATTCCTCAGCATTCCTTCGCAGACCCATCAGCCTTTTGATACGGACTTGCATGGACACAGCAGGGAGCTCCAGGCCCAGGGCTGGGCTCTTCCATCTCCAGCGTGCAGACACCCTCTGCATGCTTCCTCATCCAACTCTGTAGCTGACCATTGTAAGCCAAACTTGTAATTCCTTGTACATTGGTTTATCTTGTATTATATCTGTTCCTCTAGTAAACCCTGACTGATACAAAGTGTCACACACAGGTACCAAACCCCACAATAAATACCAACATTACACGTCATAAATATGAACTAAAATAATATTAACAAGAGTAATGACAGGGGCTGGGGATTTAGCTCAGCAGGCAAAGCGCCTGCCTGGCAAGCGCAAGGTCGTGAGTTCGGTTCCCGGTACCGGAGAAAAACCAAAAAAAAAAAAAAAAACAGTAATGACAATAAGGAAAGGGACTGTAGAGACAGGGGGAGGTTGGTGGGCACGGGAAGGGGACCAAGAAACGAGTCAAGCTATGTTACGTACATGCACCTACTCCCTCTGATGAATGCAAAATTCATGACAGCAAACGTGATAGTAAATTTTTTTTTTTCGAAACAATGATGAGTATGTTAAGCTTTAAACTCTCAGAGTTTTTTACCCCTGGAACCTATGAAATAATTTTTATTTAGTAAAAGGTGGTAAACAGGCATGATTAAGCTAAGGATCCTGACATGGGGAGAATAGCTTCCTGTTTGAAAACGAGACTGCAAATGCCAACAGAAGGGTGCTAGTAAGAGCGATGCAGAAGGTTACTTCACGCACGGATGTGTGTGTGTGTGTGTGTGCACAAGTCAGCCCGTGTGAGAAGCAGTTATACGGATGGAGCATCTTGTACTGTGAAGTGATGTGACAAGTCATGGAAAGTTGGGGGCAACCAGAGCTGGAAGAGGGATTGGATTTCCCAGGGGAAACTCCAGAGGAGAGGTCCGCATATTGATTTGCCCAGTGACACCAACTTCAGGCTTCTGTGCTCCAGAACTGTGAAAGAACAAAATCTGTGGCTCTAAGGCCCTGCATTGGTACTAAATATTTTTACACAACATAGGAATTGATATACTGTGTTTAGAAGACAATATATCTAGAAAATGTGTTGAATGCATACAATAATTTCCAATAGAAACAAAAGAAGAAAATATCAACACAGACACAAAAAAACCTTTAAAAAGTAGCACATCAAAATTTGTAATGTAATTGGTTATTCAGGAATAAAGGTAAAATATAAGGCAAAGGCTAAAATTAAAATAATAACTTGATTAGTTATGTCATGTCAGCACTAAGAATTTAAGATACATTTTCTAATTTTCATGAATATTTTATCAGAAATACAGACAATATTTTCTCTAGAGATAAGAATATTATTTTGCAGATAAGATAGTTTATAAAAGTTCCCAAATTATAAACTTATAACACAAACCTAATAAAGTAGACATAATAGAAAATGACTGAAATAGTTTCTGGAAATACCCATAGTCACATGAGAAATTAATTTTATATGTTCAAGAAAAAGCACAACTGTGAGAAAAAGGTGTATTTATTTTTTCTAATTAAAATGGAGCCAGTTTCGAGAAAATGGTTATATGCATTACGGATGATAAAAAGAAAGCATAAACCCCTGGATCCTAAAATAGCTTCACGCCGTTTTGTACCCACTCAGCAAAAATCCCTTGAGAGATCCTGTTTCCAAGCCTGAAACTACCTAAGAAAATGGACCCTTGGAAAGTAATTTGGATCTTGCCACTTTCTTGAGAGCTTCTTTCACATCCCTGTTCCTCAGGCTATAGATCAGTGGGTTCAGCATGGGAATCACGACCGTATAGAACACTGTGGCCACTTTGTCCGCCTTCCGACTGTTGCCCAGCCTGGGTCTGCAGTAGAGGAAGAGGATGGTTCCGTGGAAGACAGCGACGGCTGCGAGGTGGGAGGCGCAGGTGGAAAATGCTTTGCGCCGTCCCTCCGCCGAGCGCATCCTCAGGATGGTGATGAGAATGAACCAATAGGAGGAGAGGATGACCATGATGGTGAGGATTTCATTAACAGTGGGCACAATAAATGCCATGAGTTCATTCATCGACACGTCAGAGCAGGCAAGAGAGAATATAGGTGGTAGGTCACAGAAAAAGTGGTTAACCACGTTTGACTTATAGGATGGGATTTTCAGCGTTAAACACAAGTGAATCAGAGCACACACACAGGCACAGAGATAGCAGACAGAAACCAGCTCCATACACAGCTTGGGCGACATGATGACCGTATACAGTAGGGGGCCACTGATGGCCAAGAAACGGTCATAGGACATAACAGCCAATAGGAAAACCTCAGTGACCACCCACGTACAGAATAAGTAGAACTGCACCATACACCCCAAGAAGGAGATGGCTTTGTCCTTGTTTAACATATTAGCCAGCATCTTTGGCACTATCGCTGTTGAATAGCAAAAATCTACAAAGGACAAGTGGCTCAGGAAGAAGTACATGGGGGTGTGAAGTTGGGAGCTGACCTGAATCAGGGCCATGATGCCCAGGTTGGCCAAGACGGTGACGCCATAGATGACAAGGAACACCAGGAAGAGGAAGAGTCTCAGCTCAGGGACGTCTGACAGCCCGAGGAGAACGAATTCTGTTACCACGGTGCAGTTTTCCTCCACCATCGCCCCCACGAATCAAGTCAGAAAAAGTCATATCCTCTTAAATTTTCTGGAAAACAGGCTTACATTAACTTCAGGGAAATATAACATCAATGTAAAAATGTATTACTGATATCACAGTAGTCAAAGCATAGCAACACAGGCGTCAAGTAATTAAAAATGTTAAATATCTCTATTTATGCATCAATAGTAAGCTTATACTACCAAGTTTTTGTATCCCTATAAGTTCACATGGCCACTAAATTAGACTCTTCCATGGGCTTTATAATAGAATTAATGATGCATTTTAAAGCTAAATAGAAAGTAATCTGCATTCCCTGTGATACTGATTGTACCTCAGCACAATGAAAGATACTATGACCCTATGTAATATAGACTGTTTTTCAATAAATTGTATAATTATCATTACTTTATCCCAACTGAGGTTCTAGAATTCCAGTCTTGGGAAGTAGGGCATGTGCTTGGGAAGACCTTTAAAAGATCTAGACGAACTTTTAAATTTAGAGCTGTGCAGAAAGAAGATAAAATGAAAGTATACCCTGAAACCACGATCATGTTATTTATAACACTGGCAATTATTTGATTAATTTAAATAGTCATCAATAGTACTGGTGACTCTAAAAGATAAATTTTCTATGTAAACTTTTCTAGAAAAGAATGAGGCAACACATATCTGAGGTCTTAGTCCAGACAATAACAAACCTTTAATCATTCTTTGGTTTATGAGAAATTTTATTCTTAGTGATACATTAAAAGTGTTTAATCATGTTAGTCCAGACAATAACAAACCCTTAATCATTCTTTGGTTTATGAGAATTTTATTCTTAGGGATCCATTAAAAGTGTTTAATCATGCTGAAAAATGTGAAATACTAGGTTAGAAGTTGCATGGCATCATTGCTTATGACATTAGTAACAAAAGTAAACTTATTTATCTTAAAAATGTCAATAAAATCAGGGAAAGGCTAAACTATGGTGGATAATATGCAGGGTGGAAAATTATCATTGTATTTGAAATTACATTGGGGATGTGATTGGTTAAACATACCTAAGAGTATATTGATACTGGATGATGTATGTAGATTAAATAGTATGAAAATGTAGATGTATAAATACAGTTAATTCTGGAGATATCATGCTGTCACTTCAATTTGGCTACATCTTGAAATAAATACTTTGTATGCTTTAAAATGATGTAAATGTAGCTCAGTGGCAGAGCATTTCCTTAGCAAGTGTAAGGTTCTGTGTTTAATTTCCTGTTCTGAAATAAAATTTTAATTTTTTTTAAATGACCTAAGTGAAAGTTTCCCATGACCTTTCAAAAAGTGGTTTGGGGAAAATGGCTGAATAGTTCCTTCCGGTAAGAGCAAGGGCCAACCAGGCCTTAAGAAAAAGTCCGTGAGTTTGAGGACATTCAGTCTCTGCCTCCTTCACAGACCATGGCAAGGGCACAAACCATGGCTTCACCGACTACTGCAATGAACTCTGAATGAAGAGAACGTGGACTGTAAACACAGCCTGATATTCTCTCTGCATGCTGAAGAAATTTTGAAGAATTGAGAAAAAATTATGATGTCAGTTTCAGGACTTCAAAATCAATCAACCTGATCAAAATAAGTAACAAGCAAATAAGAAGTAAATTATTAAGTGTAGGGTTAAAACAGGAAATAAACAGGAAAATTGTGTTCCCCATCCTATACTGATAATAGGAAAGTAGTCTTTGATAAATCCAATGTGAATACAAAGAAATTCATCTCCTTTGCTGAGCAAAGAAAATTTACATGTCTTGGTGTGATAATAACCAGATTTTAGGCACATTAATTTATTTAATAAAATTAAATGACAGTGACAGTGAGTTCTGCTGTGATATCAAATTCTAGATTCTATGAGGAAAACAGGTGAGTAAAAAAGGACATAGGGAGAGAATGGAGACAAAAGAAAAAATCCACCATTTTGTGTTCGGCACCCTTTTGTGTAAATAAAAGATATCACAGAGGACTTTGTTCCCACCAAGTCATTCTCAAAACTTAAAGGAAAACACTTTTGGTGGAATAAATCCACGGAAAGACAGTTCTCCTAAACACCTTATGACCACAATATGATTTAGACATTACCTTTTGCTCATAAAGTATATTAATTTTCATTTTCAAATAAGCAAAGTCTAGTTTTAGCTAACAAACCTGAGGCACAGACATTCTTCCTTGTACTGAGGATGCTGGTGATGTATCTACCATGTGCAGTAGGAAATTTATGCCATAATTTAAACTCTTAGGAATTATGGCCCTTGAGTGAAACAACTTTTCATCTCTGTGGGATAACAAAGCAACAATTACACAATGATGACATAAAGTATAAGTAATCTCTCTGGGATAGCTCAGTAATATTAAAGACTACTCTAAACTCAGGAAATACCTGAAATGCTTGTTTTATTTAAAACCAAACTTACTCCTTTCCATATTTGATGATCTGTTACAGAATGCTATGCCCTGCTTTCAGAAGTGTGAACCACCACCCAGAGTCCATTCTGAGATAACGTGAATATTTCTTTTTAAATTCTGACCAGGACATGTTTGCAGTCCCCATGGTTATATTCAACATGGAGGCTCAATGCATGTGGATGACATATTTTCATTTTTTTATACCCCCTTTTCCTCGGCACTTCCACCCTGCATTTCCTTTTCTAAAAGATTTATCTCCTTCCTCCTTATTACCTTTAATTTTTCTCTTTAACTTATTTATGTTTTGGGCTTCTCATGTAATATTTCTTATCAACTTTCCTTTTTTCATAATATTGCAGAAAGTTATTAACTTTCAGAAAGGCAGAGTACCTTAAGCCCCATCAGACTTTCTTCATGTATGAAGACATTAGAAAGAAAATTGTTTACGAAATGTGCAATTTAATTTCACATGACCAGGCTCTTATTTGTCACAAGCTGTTCTAAACCACATACAAGTATTAATTCATTTCATCTCCCAATCATCCACAAAGGAGCAGCTTCCTTTTCATGCCTGTCTTCCAATGGACACAACAGAAGCACAGGCAATTGCTCTCTGGACGAAGTCTAAATAAGGTGCAGGGAAGCAATCCCATCCCAGACTCTGGGTTTCGTCTACATGAGTGTGTGGGAGGGACAAAACCAGGACCAGGTCTGCTTGCCAGAATCCGCGCTCATTCCTGGAGGGCGCCCAGGGAGATGGCTTCAGAGACCTCTGCTCCGTGTGCTCTCCATGAGACTTAGGAAAGTGGGTCTGGGGACCCTGCCTTCCCAATTGTCCCTATGTGTTACTGGGTGTGCACATGGCTTTTCTAGGTGTATGCGTTCAAAAATTAGTTTCATGTAAATAAATCACTATATTTTCAACTACTACACAGCATATTTCCAAAATTTACCAGCCAGGGAATACAAATAAAACTAAGGAGATTTTCTGGTTCTCCATTCAAACATAGGTTTTGCATTTCTTAAAAGGAAAGTTTACATTAACCAATAACACGCTGTATTACCTTCCTGAGTAACAGGCTCCAGGCTAGAACAAAAAAGTGGCTTCCCATATTGTTTTTATGGCAATCTGTAATTTTTAAATCATTCTCTAGAAGTGCCTTAAACTCATGACATTATTTTCTGCCGCTTTCATCTCTTGCATACTCCTGTTAAATCATATTTTCTTTGTTGAAATGTGTATTAAAATATTTTCCTTACTGGAGACTTACATGTTTCTGTTATTGAGTTGTATTATGTTGATATACTTTATATAAAGCCAACTCATTATATATGCAGATGTATATCTGTGTATATATTTACTTACATGCTTGTAAAATCCTTCTGATGAAAACAACCAGCTCAGACTGGAGGATCCCTCATATACCTTAATACTTTAATACTATGTCTCAGTAGAATTGTTATACATCATAAAAACATTCAAATAATTGCCCTGTGAAAATCTGCCTGGGTTTTGTGAGAATATGACTGCCTCGTTTATGAGTCTCACATATAGGATGAGATGGTTTTTTTCTGAGGGTGGGGTGGGATGTGGAAGGAAAGCAAAACCAAAACAAAGCTTACTATTAAAATACATCTGGCACTTAGGCTATGTTTAAGGGATGCCCGACAAGTGCAGAGAACTCATTCTCTTACAAACTGACTCTGAAGGACATGGAGAGGCACAGTGACAGGAGGGGGACATTCGAGAGCAGACACTGTCACAGAGAAGCATAGAAGCCATCCGTTGCCCTTTGTTGGAAGTGGCATGAGGCAAGCTATGTATAGGTTTTGACAGACCCAATACAGTGATTTCTGCCATTGGCATGAAAAGCTATTCCCAAACCTGCAGTGAAAATGCAATGGTCCTCGTCTTTCTCTCCCTAACTTGCTGTGAGGCAAGGTGCATGTGAGATTGAAGAAGGACAGCCACGAAATGGTCATGTGAGAGTGACGGCGATGCTGTTGGAACAGAGTGCCATTATTTCAAACACCGTGACTGCTGAACACAAGGGAGAAGGCAGATGCACAGGGCTTCCATGATCTGCTGGGGCTGTAAGGGGTTTGTGACTCATATAAAGCAATCTTGTTGGATTCTGAGCATGGGACAATGATTTAAATGCTGAGTGGTCTAAAAAGATTCTTTGGGCAACTAAAGTTTCCCAAGTCCTCTTGACTGGCATGTGACTTTGCTGCTAGTTTTTGGAATCATTAATGGATACCATGTGGTTGGTCAACATCAGTCACCTCCATATTGGCTGATAATATGATGATGTCCATAATATTGTCTTGCTGGATGGTGTAAATTGGCTGCAAACATTTCTTATTATTTTTATAGCTATATTACTTTGCTTTTTTTCCTGATTTCAAATTTTAAAATGGTCCCAATATCTACAGGGTCCTTGTTATTGGGACAGCATTCCAGAGAGTAAACCTATGCTATGATCTACACCAAACTCTGTGTGTACATCCCTGACACCAGCGTCACACATAGAGACCCAAAGCAACATACTCTTTGACTCTATGCCACCTGTGGGAGGAACAGTTTGGATCATTGAGCTCTCAGTGGAAAAATTGATTGGTTAAATGATGGTTATTATTTTCACTCGTTAAGTTCTCTCCTCTATTCATGTATGCTTCTCTCGTGTAGCTGTGGAGATGGCTAAGAAGCCAGAAAAGTGGGCTTGCCACCTACCACCAACACATGTTGAACCACATGAAGGCTCAGGTTACCCTGCAAAAGAGGGGATATGGGAAGGCTCTTAAGATCCAGCTGTGGTGGGTGGGATGTAAGGGTTCAGCTTGACACACCTGCAGCCATCTGGGTCACACCTAGCCATCCCTGGCACACATTTCAAGCCCTGTAGAATGAGCAAAATTTGAAGTAGTAGCATGGCATGCCAGCTGCTGATGCCTAGGCTACTGGATTCTTAGTAAAGCCAGTTTAGGGTTTGTTTTTTTTTAAGAAACACAAGCATACCCCAGTTGGCTGGGAGCCACTTTGGGTCTAACTTTAATAAATATAGCTATAGATGATATAGGTATAGATAGAGATAGAGATAGATGATAGATAGATAGGTAGGTAGACAGATAGATGATAGATAGCGATATATAGATAATAGACAGATAGATGATAGATAGATAGATAGAGAGAGAGAGATAGAGAGATAGAGAGAGAGAGAGAGAGATTTCTGCCTTGAGGTGAAAAGATTCTTCTATCTTTTTTTTTTTTTTTTCTTGGTTTTTCTTTCGTACCGGGAATCAAACTCATGACCTTGCACTTGCCAGGCAGGCGCTGTACCGCTGAGCTAAATCTCCAGCCCCACATTCTTTTATCTTGATGCTATCCAACATTATTTTCTACATCAGTCTCTAGTAAATTGATCTGTGTGCAATCATGTAGTTGTTTATCTCTTTCATTAATTTCTCTTCTACCGTTGGTAGTGAGCTTTTGTACACAAAAATTTACTAAAACATCAATGTCAAGTTACAAATTTCTTCAGTGTGAACTTCCATTTATGGTTGGGCTGGGTTGCCAAAAATTTTTGGATGCCTCACTCACTCTAAGCTCTATTTTTCCCGTGTCACATGTACCGTGGAGAGCACCTCCCTCCAAGCCCCTCCGGAGCCCCTAGCCAGGGACTCTTGCTGCTCCTTGCTCTGTTCTTGCAGTGGCTGGTTTCAGGGTACCCTCAACTGTTCAATGAGTTCCACAAAATTTTAAAATTTTGAAATATCTAGTAGTGGAAAATAAAGTCTTACTTTTTCTGTAATAGTGCACAAATCTCTTTATCATTTGCTACCTCTTAAACTGAAGTCAGAAGTTTGATAATGTTGGTTTTAAAAAATTCAAACAAGTAAATAAACAAGTAAATTAGATATTTTTAAAAGCACATGAATAAATAAGTGAAACAAAAACCCTAAACATGCTTTAATTATTTTATATTCTTCCATAATATTCTCAAAAACTGACAAAGTCAATTTCTATAATATCGCATGCAATACCATTTAAAATACAGAAATTGCCCAGTTTGTTTTCACCAAAGGATCAAAATAAAGTAAAACAACAAAAATATGTTCAATTGTTAAAATAACTGATGACTAAGACTTTTGAGAGTTTTGCATATATGTGAGTGATACTAAAAATAATTCACAACATTCATATTACGAAAGAATGCACAATTGTGTTTTCAGATCTGTTTTCAAGGGATCAAATTTAAGACTGTTGAATTCTGTGTTATTCTAGCAATAAAAATATTCATCCGTGGATAATTTTGCTTACTAAAATAAATGAAAAATAAAATTTATCTTAATAGGTATAGGTAAATCATGCATTTCCAGTGACTTCATGCTTTCTCTTGAATGTTTCAGAAAAATCTATAACACAAACAGTGCATAAAAGCAGGGCAATGATTATTGTAATAGTTACTGAAGTAAATAAAAAATCAAAAGAAGCTTTATTATCATAAGAAATAAAAAGTCAATTCCACAAAATTTTAGGTTGTAAAATAATATACTCATAAATTACAGGATCCCAGAGAATACAATTTAAGTCTTCAGTGACAAATAAATGTTATAAAATCTGATGATACATGAATTTCAGATTAACAATATTGAGCATAGCTAGATATTGTATTTATTGGAAATTATTTGTTTTTAATTTAATTTCATGAAATATTTTAAGCTTAAATGACAGTTCTAAAAATTAGATATTCAGAATTAGATATTTTAAAAAGCACAAGTATAGATAAATGAAATAAAAACCTAAATCATACTCCATATGCACTTACAGAATTTACCAAGATATGGTTAAATTTCATATTAGAGAATGACAAGCACAAAACTTTATATCCGTTTTTGTTGAAAGTGCCTGTGTCTTTGTGTTAGTGTGTGATAGACAAGAACAAAAACATCAAAAGCCGGTGTATCATGTCTGTTTCCGTCAATGTTGTAAAAAAGCCATAGAAAACTTTATACTCTTACCTGCCCTTTTCCTAATTTTAAAGAGAATTTTTAAAAATATCAAATAACATCAGCGTAGACAAAAACAAAGCAACACAAAAACAGTAAAAATGATACAGGCCTTCAAAACAAAATGATAGGAATTAACAGTGTTTGCTATATTACATATTTTAATCTTCAGTGAAGTTGTTCAGATTACCAGATGTAAGAATGCAAGATTGATCAAAACATTAAAGAGGATAAAAAATAGTATAAAAAGCATTAAAAACAATACAGAGCTTCACCAAACAAGATGGTAGGAATTCACCAATGGTTGCTATATTGTATATTGTTGTCTTCAAATTAGTTGTTCAGATTACCAGATATAAGCATTACCCCCTCTTTTGGACTCCAAACTAGATCTATTTTCTAAAAGAAAAACTTAGAAGAGTCACAACATATTATTCAAATGTGCCTTCTTTGGAGCACCATATGATATACATCATATGCACAGATTATAGGAAGTGAAATGCTCAAGATATTTATGAAAGAAAGAATTTCCACAATGATACAGAGTTGCCCAGAATATTCTCTCTGCATCTGAATGACAGTTCATTCTGAGTAAAGTGTCACTCCTAAATAAACCTGCTATCTCTTCAGGGCAAGCTACAGCAGCTGCAGCCATGAAGAAATGCCTCCTATACCCCCAGTGGATCTCAGATATCTCTCACCACCTACTTGGTCACTCTTGTCTTTCCCCAGCTGCCTGCTATTACTCTGTTACCAAAACAGCTCTTTATTTCAGTTACCAGAATTACAAGGGTAGCAACATTTCCCCGGAACACTCACATACAGCGTACCAGTGATGGTGCATATGTTGGCATTTCCTCCACATCATCAACTCAAAAAGTAAATTACACTATATCACTTTGTAGACAAACGTGGAAAGCTTTTGTGGGATATACAAACCAAGACAAGTATAGCTTCTCTGACCTAAAACTCACTCATTCCGTTGCAAAATGATTTATTTTTCTGAGAGCCCCAAGCCATTTTACAAAATGAATACTTGATATACAGGTTTTCTCTCAAGGAGCAAATTTCTGGTGAAAGACCCAAATGACATGCACACTACTGCATACAATCAACATGAAAAAATTTTGTGCCCATTATCTTATGGACCGTGTCCTTCACTTCCTTATTTCTCAGACTGTAGATCAGGGGGTTCAACATGGGGATCACCACCGTGTAAAACAGGGAGGCCACTTTGACCGTGTGCCTGGAGTTCTTGGAGTTGGGCACACAGTAGAGGAACAGGATGGTGCCATGGAAGATGGCGATGGCAGTCAGGTGGGACCCACAGGTGGAGAAGACTTTGCGGTGTCCCCTGGCCGAATGCATCTTCAGAGTGGTGCCCACAATGAACACGTAAGACGTGAGGATGATGAGCAGAGTGCTTATCTCATTAAAAGTGGCAACTGTGAAAAGGAGCACCTGGCTGAGACGCGAATCAGGGCAAGAGAGGGATATCAGGGAGGATAACTCACAGAAGAAGTGATTGATTGCGTTGGAACCCCGAAAATATAATTTTAAAGCAGAGCACATAAGCGTCAAGGAGCACACTACTCCCCATGCGTATGATCCAAACACAAGCAGGGTGCAGAGTTTCTGGGACATGACAACCGTGTAGAGCAGCGGGTTGCACACAGCCACAAAGCGGTCATAGGCCATCACAGCAAACAGAACCAACTCAGTCACTACAAAGGTGCAGAAGAGAAAGAACTGCATCATGCACCCTGCAAAAGAAAGGCTTCTGTCTTCCACAATGAGGTTCACCAGCATCTTGGGAGCAATGATAGTAGAATAGCAAAAGTCTGCAAATGAAAGATGGCTGAGGAAAAAATACATGGGGGTGTGCAATTTGGGATTAATTTTAATTATCACAATCATCCCAAGATTCCCTACCACACTGAAGCTGTAGGTGGCCAGAAATATCAAGAAGAGGGGAACCTTCAGTTCCGGGTAGTCTGAGAAGCCCAAGAGGGTGAACGTGGCCTCAGAAGTTATATTTCTCTCTCTCAGAGACATGTTTCCTTTCGGTGAGATCTGAAAATCAGTCTTGGAAATAAAATACGGAAAATGATTGACACACAGAACATGCTGAACTCTCCCCTCTGTAGACTATATGGTGAGACATCATAGTCTTCTTAATTATCCTGCTTTTTGTAAGGTATCAAAATAGAAATAACTGAAGTTTCAGAAACAGAATCATTGAAACACATTACCTTCTTAAAATATTGCTAGTATTGTAAAATATGATTGCAGCATACAGGTGTAATTATTAGTTCAAGCCATTTGGATGGTAACGAGTCATCAAATTCTTATGAGAAACATTCAAATTCCCTCAATGCCATGAGTTTGGCAAAGAAAAATCTGGAAAACGAAATAACTTGTCACATTGGTCCTGCAATTACTAATGAAAAGTGGAAGTATTTGAAATAACTTGTAGTTATAACTGGCCATGACATAATTATTTGCTTAGCATTTTAATCATTCTACATTATGATTATTTATGTAAAATATCAAAGCCATTAACTGCTTCTGAATTTAGATTAATAAAGTTCATTTATTGAACTGCTTTCTGCTACAGAGAATGAAAGTGAATATTTAAGAAGCCTTGATTTGCCTGATAAAATAGTAACATTGGACAGCCCATGAATCTCATTTCCTCCACTCCTGCTGAAATACTCATCTCTTAAGTGCAGACTCTCAATTGTATAACAAATAGGTATCTTGACACTTAATTTTATAAATATCACATTGGATACTGAATTCTGTGCTACCTTTAAGGTACTCTTTACATTATAAATGTATGGAAATTGAAAACAGTAAGGGCCACAGATACATTGTTGTTAAGTTTGTATACATGAAATGGCATTGAAAGGAAGTTCCTAGTTAGGAGGGATTATGAAAAATCTTCACAAACATAGACAAAGACGCTTTATTTTGCTGTGCTCCTCTGTCTTCTGTAAGTCATCTAGAATAGGGACTGTGCCTATTCCCTCTCAAGAAAAGAGATGGGAATGTTAGGATTTCGCCTCACTCAAAATCACTCATGAGAATAGAATCCTTATTACACTGAGACTGTTCACATTTCTCAGGTGGTATCCAGGTAGGATCTGCACATAAGTTTCAGGACCCTCCTTAAATTTAAATTGCAGAAAGATAAAGGCAAGTCCCAAATGTTTCATAAGATATATTCATATTAAGAAACTATTCTCCTTGTGAAATTAAAGACTTTCAGAATTAGAAGAAGATTTAAGTTCCTATGACTACTTCCTTTGGAGTATCTGTGAAATTGGCCCAGAAACTATTTCCACAAATGCCCTGACTCTCATTAAGAGCATTCCATGTGTCCTAAAGAATGAACATGCCTGGAGTAGAGAAAGCTTTAGTGCTCTGATAAAGCAATCTATACAGCTAAATATTTAGTAACTAAAAGAAAAAAAATTATTCTTCTTGATCTAACTCTGAAATTTATTTTATTATTATTATTATTATTTTTGTCTTTTTGAGACAGGGTCTCACTGTGCAGTTCAGGCTGGCTGTGAGCTCACTTTGTAGCCCAGGTTGGTCTCAAACTCACAATGATCCTCCTGCCTCAGCCTCCTGAGTGCTGGGATGACAGGCATGCGCCACCACGCCAGGCTCCTAAATCTGAAATTTAATCTGGCTTTCTATATTTTTGTTTGCTAACGTCTCAGTTGTTCCTGATAAAACTTCTTTGCTTCTTTTATCCAAGTGATAAATTCCAGGAGGTCCTTCGCTACACATTTAGGGAACCACATCACCCTAAAAATTATTCATAGTCCTCTGTTTAGATGTCAAGGAATTTAAGGACTGAAAAGAAGACAATATTTTCCAGTATATTGCTATGGGAAGCTAACTTGCGAACTGTAGGAGTTAGAGAAGAATCTCTGACCTTCATTCACTGGTCAAAAGGCTCACTAACCCCATCCAGCTGTGAAAGTCAAAAATGTCCCTAGACATATTCAGGAAAGGAAAGGAAGATACATAATCTATTGCAATTAAGAACTACTGCTTCATTTCCTTGATATTGGTAGATTTTACTCATTTTTTTTCTGTATGATTTCAACATATGACTAAAATGCAATTTGACTATCATGGATCTACATTTCCCAGGAAGTATTATTTTATGTACTAAGGAATGTATATTTTCTTTAAATCTGAGCAATGTAGTATTTAGAATCTTCTTTGTATTTTTTCCCACTAAGGAGACCAATCTGCCCCCATACTGTACCACTGGATTTAGGTCAAGTCCTCTCTACTATTTCTCTACAAGGGTCCTTTCGTTCCTTCCAATTCCATTTCATTTAAATTGCTGTTTTCCTTGCAGGTAATTTTAAAAATTCACAGGCCTCAAGAAGGTGAATCTGTAGATGTGGACATATTGCTTAAATTTCTAAAGGCCCTGCTTGCCCGTTCCCAGGACCCTGGAACAGAGAAGACCAGCTCAGCAGCCCTCTGTTTGAACTCTGTACGAAGAATACACCTCCTGTTTACTGTATGTGTACGTACATAATGTCTACAGCAGTACAGTTTTTTCCTATTATTTTCCCATGAAGAATCTACAAAAGCTGAGGCATCTTCTAGATACCTTACGTGGGAAGCATCATGATGTGTTCTCAGATCTGGAGGAACAGACTTGCTGGCGGGAAAGGCCGCCTCCTGCTGCCTCCGGAGAGCTTATTTGGAGGAGAAGCCGACATTCTCACTCTTACTGAGGCTCCCTCTGGCAACGTGTCCTAGGGAAAATTGATTGCCTATTTCTCCAGGGGCATCAGAACAAGCAATTAAAATTAACGACTCCTTTACGATGCAATTCTCACCTCATAGAAAAATTATGAAAAGACACCAGTGGCTTAGAAACATGTTTCATGGAACTTAACTCTGTTGAATGCCATTTCCCTGTGCTCCAAGATCATTTTCATAGTGTCCAATTATTATTATTACCAGCATGGTCATATTATTGTGATTATTATTTTGCATAACGACAGGTTGCCACTGGAGTTACTTAGTTAGTAAGCATTCTTAAATACCTGGCTTTGGTCATTGCAAAGGTTAATTGCTTCTACATTGCATAAGCACAACTAGTGAAAAAGACTGATTGTACCTTCAGTTCCCTTGACTCCTTCTGTGCGTACTAGTCAAGGTTGTGCTCACAGCATACTGCATCTATGTGGAAGATAAGGCTGCAGATGACAGGCACTGTGTTCTCACCATTCCGGGGAGGAGCTCAGTCTGGTTAGAACCAGTCTGATAAGGTGTCTCATGGGATTAAGAACATGGAAGTATTTTGTAAAAAGGATATATTATTACTCACAAACTAGTGATTTCTACTTCTAATTTAATATACCTCTTCTCTAATTCCCTCTTCAATACCAATTTCTAGAAGATTCAAAAGCTTTGATTATCCTTTCCATCACTGTTTACATTTATTTTGATGATATTTTATTTTATTGTCTTTATTCTATAAATTAATCAATGTATAGGTATGTTACCCTGCTGTTAAAACAATGATTTTTAAAATTCAGCTTATCCTTATATATTTATTTAAATATGCATAACATATTTTCTACTGGAGAATTTTCACATCACTGGGTGAAAAGAAGAGAAATTGGACCATGTGAATATAAAATTTCTTCCCAAAATTAATGAATTAAGTAGCTATAATCTAGACTTAAAATAAGTGCACTCTATAATAACGACGTTGTTCACCAGTTTGTAACCCTGAATGACTTCCAGTCACTTATATGCTCGTGACGAGCTTCCCAAAGCGGAGCTCCAGAGCCTTCTCCACTAGCCTCAATATCCCTCACATTCCCACACACTTCCCCATCCATAAATATCATCTCTCTGTTATTTGCCTGTACTCTTTCATGGATCTGCCCATGTACGTACTATTTCATTAGCCTGTGCTTTTTTAGCTTCCCATTTATTATATTTATATATAAAAACATTATCCAGGTGTGAAGTGTGCCATGAAATTTTTTTCTGATTCCATTGGATAAAGCTTATTATTTTCCAAAGGCCATAATTTCTGTGATTGTGTGATCATTGCTCTGGACACAGTGTGATCTTGTGCTCTGTGTGTATAGTTTTCCAGCTTCCTCTTCAACTACAAGGCGGATCTCTGGTGACTCCTCCCTTTGTGACTCATCCCCTGTATTCCTGAGTCTACTCAGAATAAGAACGAATGTACACATCTGTGAAAAGCTACTGAGCAGAACGCTCACCTTTATTTTCTGCAATATTTGCTCCAATGCTGATTTTCTTCATGTCAAAAGCAAGAACATGTCCATTGGTACAGTTTCTTTTAATTGCTCCAGCCAGAGTAGATTACACGTTGTACTACCTAGTCTTGTGAATTTCTGTTTACACAGTTTGTTTTTTTGTTTGTTGGTTTTTTTGGTTTTTTTCCAGTACTGGGAATTGAACTCATGACCTTGCACTTGCCAGGCAGGCGCTGTGCCACTGAGCTAAATCCCCAGCCCCTGTTTGTACAGTTTGAACCTTGTTCTTCAGTCAGATCATCAAATGGTCATGAATTGAAAGTCTTGGGTGACATAGGAAAGTGAGGCATGCATGTGTAATAAATGGACTCAAATGCTCTCCTTTCCTCCTGACACAATTTTAGACTTTTGAAACTCTAATGTATTTAATTTAGTATAGGACATATTTTCTTTTTTTTTTTGGTTTTTCTCCGGTACCGGGAACCGAACTCATGACCTTGCGCTTGCCAGGCAGGCGCTTTGCCGCTGAGCTAAATCCCCAGCCCCTTAGGACATATTTTCAACTGTTAACCTCTTTGTATAGAAATCTTAGAATTAATAGTGAAGATAGCGTTGTGTCATAGGTTAATTACAAAAGGTTATTTCAAGAACATAAATGTCAGTGAGCTGGGTGCAGTGATACACCCCCGTAATCTCAACACTTGGGAGCCTGATGAAGGAGGATGGATTTGAGTTTGAGGCCAGCCTGGGCTACATAGTGAGACCCTGTCTTCAAAAAAATGTCAGTGAGAAGACATTGTCCAAAGTTAAGCTCAACAAAAGCCTTGAGGTTAACAGAATTAAAAAATGCTACAACAGGAAACAGAAAGTAGTTATGTAATGGCAGATGGGTTGATTTCCACAGAAGACAGGAGGATTCAATGCTAGGGTAAACAGAGTTTATTGAATTTAGACCGGTCACCATACATCCTCCACTAACAGGTCGGAAATTCTTGTCTTGTTTCAAATTTAAATATTCTTTTGGTTTCCATAGTAATGGAATGGAATGCTATAGCAGTTGATTCAGGTGGCCACCTACTGTTTTACATGCTCCATGTGTGCGATCAGGCCCCAGTCCTAAGCCCAACCCTTAGGATAGATACTTCTGTTCTGTTTGTTTGCCTTTTTGCAACCATACATTCCCTTATGGTCACGATGTTCAACTAGGGCCAGGGAAGGGATGAAACAGCCCAGGCAGGGTCATAGATGATTATCTGGGCCTGGGGGGAGGGGGGTTCTTTAACTTTGGAGAAGCATTCCAGGGCAAAGTTAACTTTTGACAAACCCACCAGGATGTTTCTCCAGACACATTTTGAGGCTTGTACTAAGACTAAAACTATTCTATCTTAAAAATGTTATGCTAAGAGTCACCGCCCACTACAGTTAAAATACGTGAAAAAGTATAAGATCAGTATTCAAACAGTAATCCCAGCTTTGAAGAGTTGGAGACTACTGCTTTTCTAACAGCATATAAATACAAGGGTAGAACCTTCAATTAAACAAGTGATTGCAAGTGTAGAGATTGAAAAAAATAGAATAGAGAATTTACAAAAAAAGAGTGGAGGTACAACAGAATAGAGAGAGGGGGCTCAGGTACATAGAGAAAGGGAGTCAGGAGAATATTTTATGAAGAACAAATACACGGGTTAAAACAAAACCAGGAGTTTCCTTATTATAAATGACAGAAAATGTTTCATTTTCAATGGGTTATGTGTGCATCATGAGGATAGAAGCTACACACAATTATGTGCAGCCTGAGTCAAAAACATTAGTCCTCATAAGAAAGTTTATTAAACATTAATAATGACGGGGACAGAGAGACAGAGACACACAAAGAACGAGTTGTATGTAAGGAGTTATTCCAAGCTTTTCATACATTCCATACAATTATTCTTCCTGAAATTGTCTTGAAATAATAACTGTTATAATCCTCCTAAAACTCTGTATATGGCAGTACCTACCAAGATGATAAGTGAAACAATAAAAAAGAAATTAACAGTATACAGGCACCTGTGGAAATCACATTTTGTGCAGAAGCTTTTCAAGAAGGGAGTGTTTTTCACTCCAAAGCATCAAGAATTCATTTTTTTAAAGGTGGCTCATTTTCCTTAAGACTAGGGCAAGCTGTGTGGGTCTTCTGAGTTCTTGATGAAGGTAATAAAATTTTACATTAAATTAAATGCCTGGATTTTAAGAGTGCTATCACCGTCATCAATTTAAATTTTTTGGGGTTAAAATAAAAGTAGACTGCAGGTTTTGCAAATACTCATTTCTACTTTTGCAAACTGAAAGCACATACAAGTGAATTTAAAGACTCTCTAATAACAGCAGAAGTTTGGTGTTCATTCCAGCTGTTCACCCTACGCAAACACTCCTACACTTTCTTCCCCTTAAAATGCTGAGTTCTTTTAGTTTTACATTTACTAGGAGAATATTTTGGAGCCCAGCACTTTTCTGAGGGCTTCTTTCACATCCTTGTTTCTCAGGCTGTAGATCAGAGGGTTCAGCATGGAAATCATGGCAGTGTAGGACACTGTGGTTACCTTGTTAACATCCAGATCATTGCCAGAAGTGGGCTGACAGTAGATAAAAAGGATTGTTCCGTGGAAGACAGCGATGGCTGCGAGGTGGGAGGCACAGGTGGAAAATGCTTTGCGCCGTCCCTCTGCCGAGCGCATCCTCAGGATGGTGATGAGAATGAGCACGTAGGAGGTGAGGATGATCGCAATGGTGAAGATCTCATTGAAATTTACCATGATGAGCAGCAGCATCTCGTTCATGGTGACATCAGAGCAAGCACGACTTAAGAGAGGGGGCAGGTCGCAGAAGAAGTGGTCAATCACATTGGACTTGTAGGCGGGGATCTCAAGGGCTGAGCACAGGTGAATCAGAGAACACACCGAAGCACAGAGGTAACAGCAAGCAACTAGCATCACCCAGGGCTTCCAGGACATGATGACCATGTACAGCAGTGGGTTACAGATGGCCACGAAGCGGTCATAGGCCATCACGGCCAATAAGACCTCAGTGATTGCATATGTACAGAATAAATAAAATTGCACCGTGCATCCCAGGAAAGAAATGGTTTTGTCATTGTTTATGATATTAGCCAGCATCTTTGGCATAATCACTGAAGAATAGCAGAAATCCACAAAGGCCAAGTGGCTGAGGAAGAAGTACATGGGGGTGTGAAGTTGGGAGCTGACCTGAATCAGTGCCGCCATGCCCAGGTTGGCCAGGTGACGCCATAGATGAGAAGGAACAGGAGGAAGAGGATGAGTCTCAGCTCAGGGACATCTGACAGCCCGAGGAGAACAAACTTCATCACCGTGGTGCAGTTTTCCTCCACCACTGCAACACCAGTCAGGTGCTGCAGCAAATACAATTGAGAAACTTTGTGTTATGTCCGGGAAGAAATGAGAGGGAAAAAAAGCAGGCTTATTTTAAGTCCAGGAGGATATAAGATTGATTTCAAACATACATAGGCATGGAGTGTAACAGAAATGCAAGTATCAAATTTTCAAAATGCTTAGCAATTGTCAGAATAACTCAAATGTGTATGTCCATGGATCCCCCTGGTAAAAATTAATTTCAGCATTAGCAGTAACCTTCAGTGATTCCCATGCACTCACTACTACAGTACAATGGAGATATCTATTGAGTTAGGTGATGCAGTGGACACTGACCCAGAGATAATGACTTCATTAATTGTACATAGAATTTAATTTCTACTCCATACAAATGTTATTTTGTTAGGTTCAAGACTATGACAGCTACTGTGGTTCTGTACTTTACATACTATTCTGCTCTTGTTGTACCATTTATTCAGAACATAACTTGACAATAGACAAATTCTCTACAATTTCATTGTTGGGGATTGTGAATTCTTTTTTTTTTTTTTTAATTTAATGGCTCATGAAGACTGTAAGTTTGGAATTTTTCATAAGAGAAAAAAGATTTAAAGCATACACTGACATGCATAATAATTCTCATTTATCAACTCAGCAAATTTATTTAACTCATAGTAGTGGTAATTAGAAAGGCCTATAACGACCAAGAAATATGGAACATTTGTATGCAGTTTGTAAAATAAATTAAATAACAGGTATTTGAAGTCTTAACACCAAGACAATATAAATATTTTTATGCAGAGATTTCATTGTTAGTCATATGATATATTTGAGTATATTGTATAAATATGAGTACCTATATTCGGAGATACAGTATTATTTGTGATTTTTAAAAGTAAAAAAATTTTAGTTAAAAGGGGAAGAATTGTTAAGCTATGGCTCATCCTACTTAAGGTAGAGACCTGTCAGGACGCTCAGATTATCTTGTGATCTTACACAGAGTGCATACATGAGGGCATACCTAAGCATGTGAATCTAGATATGTAGTCATGAACTTAATCTGACTACACTCTTGACACAAAGATACTTTATCCATATTTTTACAAAGAGGTAAGGCACAACTTTCTAAAATCTGTCAGATATCTGACAACCTGAGGACAGTAAACTCCATCTCCCTGGTACAGTTTTCTTTCACCATTCCCAGTGCCAGTCAGGTTACTGAAAACAATTGAGAAATTCTGTGTTGCATATAAAGAGAAACTACCATCCAGGCCCTTCCCTTAAGGGAGAGACCTAATAGGGATTTGTAATCTGCCAGGCATGAGGGGAAAAACACCTCTAATACCAGCATAGAAGAGGCTGAAGCGGGAAGACTGCGTTTGAGTCCAAAGGTTCAAAGGTGGTCTGTGCTACACAGTGAGACCTTGTCCCAAAACAAGACAAAATGAAACTTCAGTCCTTTAATCCTTGACCTGCTCTGTGTTGCAGAAGGATTAGACACATGAATTCATTAACACTCTTCAATAAGAATTGAGTGAAGATGGTGTGGACTACAAACACAGCCTGGTGTTTTCTCCATATTTGGAACAATTTTCAGGAAAAGAAAAGGAAAAGAAGAGAAGAGAAGAGAAGAGAAGAGAAGAGAAGAGAAGAGAAGAGAAGAGAGGAGAGGAGAGGAGAGGAGAAAAAAGAAAAGAAAAGAAAAGAAGAAAAGAAAAAAGAAAAGTTTTCTTCTGACATCATGGATTTTTTATTACAGGACTAAGAACAAATGACAGCAACAACAAAGTGTTTTCCTGGATAAAGCATGAGAATTCTCCTTTAAAATATAAGAAATACGACTATAGTAAATCTAAAGCAAATGCAAGCGTATTCTTCTCCCTTGCTGAGTAGAAGATATTCACATGCTCTGAAGAACTCACAGGCTCAAACTTCAATCCTCAGGATTAGGGAAACAATGCCAACTGTCCCCTTGATTTTCATCATGAGTTATAATTTCAGAAGGACATTGGTGTGGCAAAGGGAGGAGAGAGAGAGGAGAGAGAGAGGAGAGAGACAGAGAGAGAGAGAGAGAAACTGACAGAGAGAGAGAGACAGAGGGGCAGGAGGGGAGAGCAGAGGAGAGCAGTGAGAGGACAGCGATCACCATTTTGTCTGTCTGTATTTTTCATCCACATTACAGGGAAAAGTTCTAATTTCTCACAACTGTCTTCCAAATAAAAGGAAAAAACTGTTTTTATTTTAAAAATTTAAAAACTGACCAAACAACAATGAAGACAAAATCAAAACAACACAAAAACAACAAAAGCGATTCATGACCTCAAAACAAAATGATAGAAATTGACAGTGGTTGCTATATTACATACTGTTATCTTCAACAAAGTTGCTCAGTACATTAGACAGAAGAATGTAAGATTGATCAAACAAAGTAACTGCCCGAGATAAAGATTCCTATTAATGGTTTCTAATTCGAACACAAATGAGTTAGGCATACCTGAAATATAATTTTGCTTTAGAGAAAGAAAATGTGTTCATTTCCATTTTCAAGTAACCAGAATCTAGTTTTGTTGAACAAAGCTGAAAAATATACATTTCTTCCATGAATCCAAAGATGTCAATTGCACACAGTATAGGTTTTATACTGTAATCTAAGCTCCAGGGAAATTGCAAATAAAAATTACACTGGACAGTAAATGAAAAAAAGTTGCAATGAAATCTATGTCATAGAAACACAAAAATAATTAATCCCTTTGGAATATTATCAGAGAATTTGTTTTAAAATCATCCTAATTTGCTTGTCTAGTACAGAATAGGGTAACCACAGCTAATAATACTGATTGCATATTTTTAAAAGAGGGAGAAGAGAGAATTTTTAAAGTTGTCACAATACAAACTGAGAAGTGCTTGAGATGAGGGATCTACAAATTGCTCAGTTTGATTTATTTTACAATGTACACATTTATTAAAACATCACAGAGTGCCCATACACCCTTACAATTAAAAAATTAATGAAAAATTACCTAACTTAGGAATCAATCTTCTAAAGCCAAATATACCTCATTCCAGACTTTAATTATGTTCAATTTTGGAATTCAACATCCACACATAAAATACATGAGCCACACCTTGTATTGCTGTTTTGAAACAGCCTGAATAATTTCATTGACTTTCCCTTTCTGATAATGTTACAGAATCCCTTAGCTTCCATACACGTAGACTACCTAAATCACCACTAGAATTCCTTCAAATTCCAGAATGGATCTACCAGTCACACAACTCAAATAACAGCACACACTTGGACTTTCATTATATATCAGAATCTACCTAAACGTTATGTAAGTATTTGTACATTTGATAAACAATCAAGTTTTGTTTCTATGCCTGTCCAAGTGAAAGGATGGAGAGTATGGAGACACAGATCGGTTTTCCTGTGGACAAAGTCCAAAGAAGATGCAGGAAGGGGCAAGCGCTGATTTCCCCACCTACACTCAGTGTGGAGAAGGGTGTGGGCTCAGAGCCAGTGTTAGGACAGTGTTTTCCAAATATATATATCCAGTGCCACCAGGTGTCAAGGGGGACCACATCAGTGAACTGTCCCACCGTGCACTTCTCGCCTTGAAATGTCAACCATGGTCGCATTGTCCCTCTGGTGGGAGAAACTGAAAGTGTAAATAGGAACCAAAATGTATAATACATCCTGGGAAATGGGAAGTAATTGTTTAAAAGGAAAGGGGAATGGTCGGAGGATGGAGGGGAAAAGAAACAAATGAGAAAGAAAAGGCTAAAATGGGAACAAAGCTTTGTAAATAGGAGAGGAAGAGGGATTGAAGAGAGGAGAGGGAATGGGGAATAAAGTGGAACTAAGGCATATCACGTATAGGCACAAACTCTCTATGATGGATATGATCATTATGCATATATAAACTGTACCAATAAACTTAATTAAAAAAAAAAAAGAAATGTCAATCTAGACCTCAGGACTGGATATTTCTCTATGTACCATTAGATGTGCACAATGATTTTTCAAAATGCTCCTGATCGAAAGGTTGTTTCTAAGCAATTGTTATTGATATTCTCAAATACCAAACAGAATGTTCCAGAGACTTCATGAGAAGCCCTCAGACACATTCTGATTCTTTATTCCAACATCTTTTTCCCCATTTCTGTCCTTTTACAAAAGAAAAAAGAAGCTGTGGCCAACCCATAAGCAGTGAATTTTGCCCATGTGTAAAAACCCTGTAGCCTAAAAGAAGGTAAGTGTGGAATAAAGTTCTTTTAGGGCTGTTTCAACTTATTTTTAACTCTTCAGTAAATCGTGATAAACTCATAGGATAGTTTTCTGCCATCCTTCTTTTTGAAATTGTATTTGTTTTTCTGTAATAAATTTGTAACCATTTAAAAAATATTTTTGCAAAAGTGTGTCTATAATTTTTGAATTTTTTCCTCTCACTTTAAAACTTTTCAAAAATTTATTTTCCTGAAGTGCTAGGGATCTAACCCAGACCTATGCCCACTAGGCAAGCACCCTTACCAATCCGCACCCATATCTTCAAGTTAATGTTGGGCATGGTGTGAATTGAAGGTTTAAAGTCATCCATTTTTTTGCATATGGCTATCCAATTACTCATCACTTTCTTTGAAAGAGTATGTTTTATTTTGGTTTTGCTTTAAATAGATTAAGAAAGTCAACCAATCATAACTGTGTTTATTTTTGGACTTCAATTCTCTTACTTTGGTTGTGCTCACTTTGGCAGTACATATACTAAAAATTCTATTACTTTGGTGATCATTGACTTATGGCAGTAGAAATTACAATTTTTAAAAAATTTCCAGTGTCAGGTTTTCTCTTCTTTAACATAAATTAAATTTTAAACATTGAATTCCTTTTTTTCTTTGAGACAGGGTCTTCACTCCATTTCCCAAGATAGCTTGTCCTCATACCTGAGGTCTCCTTGCCTCTGTCTCTCAGGTAACGAGGGTTATAGGAGAGCATCACCTTGTCTAGCCTAAGCATTTTTCTCTTTGTAATAAAATCATATCAGAAATCCAATAACTTCCTTAATTTTAATATCAAAATTCACTTCACTATTATGTAGAGATAAAAAATTGTGTCTTCCTTTTTCATAATTTACCTTCATGAATGCCATTATTTTCTAGAAGATGGTGTCTGTGTGTGTGTGTGTGTGTGTGTGTGTGTGTGTGTATTTTCCACGGAGGAAAATGGGGACTAAATAAGCTAAATCTCTTCAAAAGTCAATAAACCTGGGTCATAACACAAATCCTAGATTTCATCTGCTGAGGTCAATGGTTTTCTTACATTTTTGTAGACATAGGAGATGAACCATATTTAAACAAATGAATAGATTTTGGAAATCATAATGGGTTGAAATGAAAATGTTAATGATGTAGATGAACAAAAATAAATGAAGAGATGTGGTTTATGTACATGGCAAAAGACAGTAAAAATGGACATTTCATCAGGACCAAAGATACATTCAAAGAACATGAGCAGAAGTTAGAAGTACACTTACAAATGACAGGAAGCACTTCCTCTACAATGAGGTGAAAAGTTAAACGCAGATCAAATAGATAAAGTGAGAGAAGAGACAGTTCAGCAATGTTCTATCCAAAATAATGTTTTAAAGTTATATATACATATATATATCTTCATTTTGAATATATATTCATATATAGACATATATATGAAAGAATCATAGAAATAAACCTTCTAGGAATTAACCTCATAAATGCCTTCAACTTTTGCAATTTGATAATCTCAAATTATTTGTGAAAGGGTTGTTGTTATTTTCATTGTTAAATGACATATTATGCAAGGTTCAAACACCATAGACTATAACAACAACAAAAAAGAGAAAAAAATGAACATGAACAACAAAAGAAGTAAAACTGTAAAGTTATGCATGCAGGACTGCTGATATATCTCAGTGGCCCAGTGCCTGCCTGGCAAGCCCAAGGTCCTGAGTTCAGTTTCCAATATTGAAAACAAAAAATTCATGCAGACTAAATTTTCAATCTGTGCACATACAGTATACTAATAATGTATTTTTCATTATGAAATTGCAGATATTCTATTTTGAAAGAGCCATAGCTTCCATCTTGGATATTGAAATACTAGGACTATTGTGCATTCTTTAACTTGTATAGGTTTTACACCAAACTAAATAGGTGTGGTTAAAGTGCCATTACCCATACATATTTAAACAACACAGATTTAAAAACAAATTGGCTGAAATTTTGAAGTATATTTAATCCTACATTTGTAAATTGAAGGGATAAAATGATAAGTGAATCAGAAAGACATAATTTACGTCCTTACTATGCTCCCCACTGCCGATATTACAGCCTATCTATTCACCACTCTATCAGCCAACACTTTAAAATTCTGAGTCCAGAAGATAAAACATTCTCTAGGATTATATTCTGGAGCTGACACATTTTCTGAGAGCTTCTTTGACATCCTTGTTTCTCAGACTATAGATCAGAGGGTTCAGCATGGGAATCACAACAGTGTAGAACACCGTGGCCACTTTGTCAGCCTCCTGAATGTCACCTGAGGCGGGCCGGCAATAAATGGAAAGGATTGTTCCATGGAAGACAGTGATGGCTGCGAGGTGGGAGGCGCAGGTGGAAAATGCTTTGCGCCGTCCCTCTGCCGAGCGCATCCTCAGGATGGTGATGAGAATGAGCAAGTAGGAGGTGAGGATGATCGCAACGGTAAGGGTCTCATTGAACGTGGCCACGATGAACAGCAGCACCTCATTCACGGTGACATCAGAGCAAGCAATGCTTAAGAGAGGGGGCAGGTCGCAGAAGAAGTGGTTGATCACATTGGACTTGTAGGATTGGACCTCCATAGCTAAGCACAGGTGAATCAGAGAACACACAGATGCACAGAGGTAGCAGAGAGAAACCAGCTCTGCTTGGAGCTTCCGGGACATGATGACCATGTACAGCAGTGGGTTACAGATGGCCACAAAGCGGTCATAGGCCATCACAGCCAGCAGGAAGACTTCAGTGACCACACATGTACAAAACAAAAAGAATTGTATTCTGCATGCTGGGAAGGAGATGGTTTTGTCATCGTTTATGGTATTAGCCAGCATCTTTGGCACGATGACAGAGGAGTAGCAGAAATCCACAAAGGCCAAGTGGCTGAGGAAGAAGTACATGGGGGTGTGAAGTTGGGAGCTGACCTGAATCAGGGCCGCCATGCCCAGGTTGGCCAAGACAGTGACGCCATAGATGAGAAGGAACACCAGGAAGAGGAGGAGTCTCAGCTCAGGGACATCTGCTAGCCCGAGGAGAACGAACTCCATCACTGTTGTACAATTTTGCTCTCCCATGCATCAGCTTTGTTTATGGTTGAAGAAAAAAAGCAAAAGTTATTCTTTATTGATCCAAAATTTAGTTTTAGCTTTCTCCAAAACAAGACATCAGAGGCAGTAGCAGAGTTCACTTTATCTGTAAAGAAGGTAGATATTTTGCATATGTAATTTAGCAGAAGTGAAGGTATTGTACGATAGAGATGCATAAAATCCTGAGTTTAATTTAAACATCACACAAAATCATTCCCATGCATAAAATTTAGGTGATTATCAATTTTTCATAGCTGCACTTTGGCACTGAATCATAAAGAAAGATGCCACGGTATTACTTAATTATCCTTATTCCTCTATGAATTCTTAATTCTATAACAGGACAGATTCTTCAATAAATACTCTGAATATCCTGGAGCTAGGAAGTTGTGTGTTTTTTTATTTTTTGTTTTTTTTTTGTTTTGTTTTTTTTCAGGAGTAGAAGTCACGACCTCGCGCTTGCCAGGCAGGCGCTGTGCCACTGAGCTAAATCCCTAGCCTCTCTAGGAAGTTATTTTTAAAACACATGGTAAGCTTTCTAAATTGGCCTCTGACTTGATGAGTTAGGCTTAAAATTATTCATCTATAATTGTTTAATCTATTTTTGATTGAGGAAATAAATTTCATACTTTGTATTACCATTTCTTCTATAAAATTAACATAGTGCATTATTGACAAAATTAGCAAGATATGATCTTTTTTGGTACTGAAATACAACCTTCCTAGAACTGTGATGCTTCAGTTTTATAAGCATCTATTTGGAAATTAACATGGCACTGTGAATCTACATAAAGAACTGATTCAAGATGCACATAGGAAATCATTTAAAAAATGTCCACAGAGCTTGCATCATTATTCATGATACTACAGTTTAGAAATGATGTAAACTGAAAGAAGTCTTCAAAATTTGTTACAGACACCAGATAAAGTATGCAGTTCTCAAACTCATACTTGTAATTTTAATGACATAAAAATGCCATAAAGATCAGAATTTACTGCATATATATTAAGATATCTTTGAAATAACAGAACAGGTCATTTATACTACTAGTTGCTGTTAGTTAATTGAAAATAAATTTTGTGTTCAGATTTGTTTTCCATATCTTGTTCTCTGAGTAACTTGTTTGAAGATAATGATACACTATGTGCTAACTAGTGTTATTTTTAGTATGTTGTTATCAAATGTTTATTTTTTCATAAAATTATAGGAGAAAATAAGTAGTAAATGAACATTTAAAAATAAAAATTGAACTGGAGACTTTTTTAGGTAGATGGATGCAACTCGAAACCACACTTATAAGTGAAATAAATCAAACCCATATGTGTAAATACCGTATTGTCTCACTGGTGTGAGAAATTGAACAAGAAAATAAGATCCAAAATGTACAATAGACATTGTAAAATGGGGAAAAAATGTTCAAAAGAAAAGACAAATTGTGATGGGAAAGGAAGAAAGAGAAAAATAAAAAAAATACATATACACAAGATAGTGAAGATACTTATGCAGATAACTTCTCTCAGTTCCTTGAAAAGAATGTTTTGTGCTAATATTGTTTGTACAAGATATCATGCCCATATATTATAACTACTAGGAAGATGGCAATATGCAGTGTTATTGTAAGTGTCCTACTATCCTGTTTTGAAACTCAGTTTAGTTATCTTTTTTTCTCTTTAAAATAAAATAAAATAAAGTAAAAATTACAACCTAAATTCAGTAAGCCAGATACTACATGCAGATATTATAGATACATCAGTTGCTTTGCATACTGAGTCTTGAAAACATCCATGAACATACATACTTCTACGCATGAATTTAAACATTATGTGTTGCAAACATGTACAAAACAAAGGAAGGGGACGGAGCAATGGGTGGAGGGAAAGGGAGGGAAGAGTCAGGGGATGAGAGAAGGAAGTGAGATGTGCTATGTCCCTGTATGGACTTCCCACAGGGGATGTAAACACGGTGCGCTTCATGCGCTAATAAAGTAATAAAATGAATCAGGGATTCCTGGAGCAGACATCATCTTGCCTGGAGACCGTCTCAACCTGGTGCTCACTGCATTTTCCAAGTGCTTTCAAAGACGTGCAGGACTGGGACATTCTTAAATCACCATTTGAATACAATCAGTTCTTCTGGTTGTGTGGTTTTCCATTTTCAATTGGCCAGGAAAAGTGAGTTATTTATCTCTGCCTGCGTCCTAACTAGAACGTAATGTGAAAACTGCTCCCGTTCTCAAGCTGAAAGGTGAAAAACCCGGTGGGCAGTTTCGTGGAGAATGCTGCCTCACCGCAAGAGAGCCATTGGTGTGTAAAGATGCTTTCAGTGCTCTGACCGGGAGCGATCAGGACATCTACTGGGACTACAGCACCCACCCCTGTCCCCTCCCTGATGCACCCTCCCCCGACACACATAGCGTTATCTGGATTATGATATCTGCGACGGGACACTTGAGAATGCTGCTTAGAGAGACCTTTCAAAGTGTTTTGAAAGCGCCAAAGCAGTTCCTCTCATTTCTGGTGCAGGGGTGTTTTACGTGCCCGGGCTCCTCCACGGGCTGTAGCACAGCCTTTGTGTGCCGCTCTCAGCATCTGGGTAGCTGGCAGGAGAATCTCCACACAGACCTCACCAGGATGCATGGGTGGAGCCACTGTGAGATTTGTGTAAAAGAAAGACCACAAAAGCCCTCTGCTCCCTCTGTTTGCTGGGTCACACTAATAGCCATCCCAGGATACGTGCTTCTGCATTTAAAATCGCTCCCGTTTTCCTCACTATAGAGGGAGAAGTCTCTTAAATAACTCTTCAAAGCATGGAATTTCTTAACACATTATCTCACTTGAGGAATAAGAAACATATTGCTTTTAAATATTATCATTACTTTCTACCTTCACAAACCCTTCTGCTACTAGCTGTAACTATAATAAATTACACCTACGAGGAAAATCTTCCTCATGCCCCAAAGTACTGCTCATATCAACCACCTCCAGAAAAGCAAAACTGTATTCTAAAGAACCAACCTGTGGAACAAAGATCACACTGTTCTCCTGTTTCTGAAGATATCATGGTGGAAATTGTTATAGGTTTTAGGTTTGTGAGTATATCCCTTGAGTCTGTGTTCCCTAAGTATCTAAAGCAATCATTGATCTCTACGGGATAGGCACAAGATGTCAAGAGAATCAATCTCTCCCTGATTAAAGCAATTATTACTACTACGAGATAAAATCTGGGGAAAAGTAAAACATACGGTACACATAATCACAAGCTAAGACAGTTTATTCAGATTTTCTCATGAATTACAGGAAATGCCCAGCTGTCTCCCGACATTGTCTCTGTGAGGGATACTCACCTTGCCACAGTGAATTCTATGACTAGCTCTCACAAGCTTTGTTCTACACACAAGAGAGCCTTCCTGAGAGGCGTAGGGTCTGAGGCTTCATCACACATCCTGAAGACCACAAAGGAGTGGGGAAAATGAAACTCTTTTGTAAAGAATAATCTCCATTTCCCACCTTTACTGAACACTTTCTACATAGCAAGTGTTATTCCAAATATAACTGCAATGAACATGTCATTGTTATAAAAGATACGTGAGATTACTACTTTTATGATGGCTTTATGAATGAGATGCCTGAGGTTCAGAGTGGTGCAGTTTGCCCAGAGTCACACACAGACACGCTGGCAGGAAAAGGACAAATATTGGCATTCCATGTGCATTGCCATTGGACTGTGGGGAGAGCATAGCTACCCAGGTACCAAGAGGGCAGCCTCCCCGTGCAGAGCTAATGGCCATTAAACCATGATGCCTCAAGTCTCATGATTATTTCCAGGTTTGCTCATTTACAGCTCTGTAATGTTGGCCTGAACTAATGATGTCCCAGCTCTGCTCTGTGCGCTCCTAGAAACGCCGAACATTTCCAGAATTTCATGAGTGTAACAAAGATGATCAGTTTTCAATACTTTGACACATGTGGTTTTCTATCATTGATCTATGTGAGAATTCTCAGAATTTGAGGAATCTTTCAGGAGATTTCCTCCCATGGAGTATGCTCAGAAAGAATTTTTCTCTTATTATTCCAACTCAAAAGATTTCTCTTGTCTGTTTAGATGTGTAAATTTTCCTAATGAGAAAAAAATCAGCATACAAAACCTAAAACACAAAGACTGCAGTTTTCTTCTATCAAAACAATGCCGTCCGTGTATGACCTCTTGATTTCCCTGGCATATGTGCATTCCTTTTTCTGGAAGAGAATGACATTTGACAAGTGCTTCACCCACCGAGTGATAGCGTATAGTCAGATACAAAAGAGATTGGTGGAGATATTAGCTTAATTCCTTTGCATTGTGTTCCAAGTGCCTCCTTAAGTAACTGTCACAAAACTCAGAAGGGATTCCTGCTAGCAAAGCTTAGCGACAGTCCATAAAGACCCCGCTGGCTGAGGTGCCTGACGTCATGCAGTCAGCCATCTCACGGGAGAGCTTTGAAGCTTTCCTACTTATGTTATCAGTAAAGATGTGTTTTCCTGAAAGTTGCTTATTTGGAAAAATTGGATTGGAATATATTTCATTGTCACGAAGCATAAACCAAATAACATAAAGGTGAAACTTAAAATTTTTTATTAAGTGTCATATTCGCTTCATAATTTACACATGGTGTATATGAAACAAAATGAGGTGTTTAGCACCATCTACATGCCGAATAATGGTCAAAAGTGGTTAACTTTCACGCCCTTCATTTTAAACCTCCATCATTTCTTTGTTGAGAGTACATTCAGACTCTACTCTTCTGCTTTTAGACGCATGGTTTATTGTTAAATGCATTCATTCTGCTTCGCAAAGGATCACCAAAATATCCTACCTACCTAACTAAACTCGGCTCCTGTTGCCAAGCCTCTCCTCTCCTACCAGCCTCTATCTTTCCCCATCTCTTATAACCACTACTACACCTCTATCTTTCCCCATCTCTTATAACCACTACTACACCTCTATCTTT